GCAGCACCATAGAATTGCTGATAATGCTTGCTAGAAATAGTATGAAACTGTGCTTGAACTTCACACTAACAGTATAGCTATTTAATTCTGATAAAAGGTATCTGTTTTGATTTCTGTTAAAGAAAGTGGAGGTGTTATTGAAATAAAGATCCTCTGTGTCATTTTTAAAATATGGAATGTTGAGGTGGGCAGCTGAGTATAAAAACAAGACCTTAAAGTGGTTCTAGCTTTCTTTATGTCATCAAAATCTGTTGAAAACTATTCTGTCATCAGAAAAATACTTGTTCCCTGATGGTCTAGTGGTTAGAATTCTGCATTTTCACTGCTCTGCCCCGGTTCAATCCCTGGTCAGGGAACTGAGATCCTGCAGTGCAGCCAGAATAAAAAAAAAATTTGAATGCACATATATGCAAATTTTGCATATAGTTTCAGAGACACAGACCTGAAGCCCTGCTCTAAGTCACCTTTCTCCTTTTTGGACAGTTTTATTCTTTTGTTTTTATTTAGTTCATGGCTACTTGAATTTGTGGCAGAGAAGGCTATGTTCATGTATTGAAGTTACAGGTTTAATTTCCATGAGGAATGCTTAGCTATCCTTATACTATAGTTGCAAATATAAAACCTAACTATTTGGTGTGTGTAAAAAAATACACCCACATGTATATACATGCCATTGATTATAACAAGGTTGGATAAGGTCATTTGAATTAATCACTGGAAAAACAATTCAGAATGCTTAAGTGGGTGTTATAGCATCTTTGGGAATAAGGAAAGATGTGCTATCATTATTTGCCTTTTGGTATTGTCATCTTATATGATTTCCTGGAATATGGTGATACTGAATTTAAAATTCAGTTTAATTTAAAACTGATTTTTGGAACATTTCAATTTATCTTCTTGAAGTAATTATAGAAATCTCAGGAGTTCTAGCATTTGTGTGTGATAACCAGTTCATTCAGTAGAGAGGGATGAAGAATGATGAGCATTTGCTTCCTGTAAAATGCATGCACTTATATATAGTATATTCATACTGTGAAATGTGAGAGGTTATAGTACTAATATCATAATACATTTTGGGGTAAGGTCGTGGTTTCTTTGTTTTTTGTCTAACTTTAGATGTACATAGTAATAATCTTGGGATTCAGCAAAAAGAATTTTGTATCCGTGGTTCTCAGTCTCAGTTGTCTTGACATCTTAAAGATTTATATATTCTTTCAAGCCCTCAGATTTGCTCTTTTTTTCTTTTATCTCAGAAGCTTTACATGCATGGTGTATAACTTAGGGTTTAGGTTAACATGATTACAGAATGGATACAGAATGAGTATGTTCCATGGAGTGTAGTGCTTCAGTTATCTGTGTGTGTCTCTTCTTGTTTTATGTACCGTATAGACAAACTTCTGGTGGACCCTCTTTGAGAAACACAGTCATAGACTACAGCAGTAGCATTCAGACTGTTTGTTCATCTATTTATTGAGTTGGAGCATATTATGATTTGCTTGCATATTTAATAAATCACATTGTCCTTCATGGGTTAACATAGTGCTTAAACTCAGTAGATAGTTGTTGATTGAATAAATTAAATGATTATGGTATTCCAGATCGAGCAGTTAGTTCCAATTCTGATTTTGAAACCTGCCTTTTTCTCCCATGAATTATTACAGGGCACAATTATGAAATGTTTAGAAGAAAATTAACAAGGAAAATAAATATGTGCCACATTTTATCCTTAAACTGATTTTGAAATCATATACGTAATGGCACACTCACATCCACAAAGTGTGGTCATCACTTTAAATAGCATAACAAAGAAAATAAAACTTCATTTTTTAATGGTGCATACAAATACATTTAATTTGCACCATTGTGTGCTAGCTGTTTCTACGATCACAAAATAAATTGTTTAAAACCATGAACAACAGCCGTTGAAACCCAAACATAGCACTGCTAATATTCTAATGTGCTAAACAAAGTATCCCTCTAGGTAGTATGGGAATCTGTACTATCCTGTGTACGTCTGTCCCTAATGGAGATTTTACAGGGCTGCCAAGCATGGGAAGGCAGCCACATGACTTAGGAGATTACTTGCTTAAGAGCATTTAGTTTATAAAAGTAGATCATTGTAGTTTATGAATACCAAGTTTAATTGATCTCTTAATAACGTCATAGTACTAGTAAATAGCCCTTGACCATCATGAAAAACATGTAAATCTAACAAAATTTGAATCGTTGCTTGTTAGAACCAAAAAAGGTCTTGCGTTTGGTGATTGCTTTCAACCTGTGAGTGCTTCCCTGGTGGCTCAGACAGTAAAGACCGCCTGCAATGTGGGAGACCTGGGTTTGATCCCTGGGTTGGGAAGATCCCTGGAGAAGGAAATGACAACCCCCTCCAGTATTCTTGCCTGGAAAATTCCATGGACAGAGGAGCCTGGTGGGCTACAGTCCGTGGGGTTGTGAAGAGTTGGACACGACTGAGCGACTTTCACTTCAACCTGTCAAGGGTTCCCCAATCAAAGAAGTCTTGAAGATTTACTTGCCATTCTGCAAAAATGGAAATATAGACCAATGGAACAAGATAGAAAGCCCAGAAATAAACCCATGCACCTATGGGTACCTTATTTTTGACAAAGGAGGCAAGAATATTTAATGGGGCAAAGACAGCCTCTTCAATAAATGGTGCTGGGAAAACTGGACAGCTACATGTAAAAGAATGAAATTAGAACACTTTCTAACACCATACACAAAGATAAAATCAAAATGGATTAAAGACCTAAGTGTAAGACCAGAAACTATAAAACTCTTAGAGGAAAACATAGGCAGAACACTCAATAACATAAATCAAACCAAGACCCTCTATAACCTACCTCCTAGAGTAATGGGAATAAAAACAAAAGTAAACAAGTGGGACCTAATTAAACTTAAAAGCTTTTGCACAGCAAAGGAAACTATAAGCAAGGTGAAACACAACCCTCAGAATGGGAGAAAATAATAGCAAATGAAACAACTGACAAAGGATTAATTTCCAAAATATACAAGCAGTTCATACAACTCAATACCAGAAAAGCAAACATCCCAATCAGAAAGTGGGAAAAAGACCTAAACAGACATTTCTCCAAAGAAGACATACAGATAGCTAACAAACACATGAAAAGATGCTCAGTATCACTCATTATTAGAGAAATGCAAATCAAAGCTGCAATGAGATCTCACCTTACACCAGTCACAGTGGCCATCATCAAAAAGTCTACAAACAATAAATGCTGAAGAGGGTGTGGAGAAAAGGGAACGCTCTTGCACTGTTGGTGGGAATGTAAATTGATACAGCTACTATGGAAGGATGATATGGAGTTTCCTTAAAAAACTAGGAATAAAACCACCATATGACCCAGCAGTCCCACTCGTAGGCATATACCCTGAGGAAATCAAAATTGAGAAAGACACGTGTCCCTTTGTTCATTGCAGCACTATGTACAATAGCTAGAACATGGAAGCAACCTAGATGTCCATCAACAGATGAATGGATAAAGAAGTTGTTGTACATATACACAGTGGAATATTACTCAGCCATAAAAAGGAACGCATTTGAGTCAGTTCTAAAGAGGTGTAAAAACCTGGACCTTATTATACAGGGTGAAGTAAGTCAGAGAAAGATAAATATCATATACTAACGCATATATTCAGAATCTAGAAAGATGGTACCAAAGAATTTGTTTGCAGGGCGTCAGTGGAGAAACAGACATAGAGAACAAGACTTATGGACATGGGGAGAGGGGAGAAGAGGGTGAAAATATGTGGAGACAGTAACATGGAAACTTACATTACCATATGTAGAATAGATAGCTAATGGGAATTTGCCATATGTCTCAGGGAGCTCAGACAGAGCTCTGTATCAACCTTGAGAGGTGGGATGGGGAGGGAGATGGGAGGGAGATTCAAGAGCGAGGGGACATAGGTATGCCTATGGCTGATTCATGTTCAGGTTTGACAGAAACAACAAAATTTTGTAAAGCAATTATCCTTCAATTAAAAAATAAATTTTTAAAAAATAAAAAGATTTACTTGTCAATTTGGAAAAGAGTGTAATATTGTAGGAATGAAGTATCAATATTCTTGTCACTAGGGCAAACCTTTCCACTGGAGATGATTACTAAATGTACCTTAATTGAATGTCTTCTAAATTTGAAGCCAGAATTGTAACATTAATATATCCACATGTCAGAGAGTTGATTGATAATGTAACTAGCACAAAGAAATGCTTGTATGGAATGAATCTGGGCTATACAATGCATTTTTAAGTTCTCTGGGAACAAAGCTCTTTGAAACCGAGTTGATCTGGGTATAAAATAAAATGTAAGCCTTTGTCATCAGACATGGTAGGTGCTGACTAGGCCTTAGTTACGCTGGGCTTCCATATTACTGACTAGGAATCAGAAAAAGACTAGGAAAAGAGAAAAGCACGGAAGTAAGAAAGAGAAAAGCAAGGAACCCCAGGAATGAAAGAGAAGGAAAGAAGCCTTCATGAACTTCTGTAGCTCTTCTGTATGATTATTTTTTTCTTGTGGTTGCATCTCTGACAAAGAATGGACTATTTCATTACCAGAGGTTATTACCTAGTTAGTTTATACCTAAAGAAAATGTACCTGTTTACTTTGAAAGGGGCTTCCCTGTTGGCCCAGCTGGTAAAAAAATCCTCCTGCGATGGAGGAGACCTGGGTTTGATCCCTGGGTTGGAAAGATCCCCTGGTTCTGGGAAAGACTACCCACTCCAGTATTCTGGCCTCGAGCGTTCACAGTCCATGGAGTTGCAAAGAGTTGGACATGACTGAACAACTTTCACTTACTTTGAAAGAAAAAGAAATGGCTTAAATAGATTAACCCTATATGCAGTTCAAGGCAAGTAATAGGTATAATATGATCAATTAAAAAGTAAAAAAAAGTACCACCAGTAAAGAATCATGACAACTAACTTTGCTGACAATTATTTTTCTTTTGCTTTGCCTTAGGGTTTTGACCCACCACATCAAAGTGACACAAGAACTATTTATATAGCCAACAGGTTTCCTCAGTATGGCCATTATACACCTCAGAAATTTATAGATAACCGGATCATTTCATCTAAGGTAAGAATTAACACTTCTATTATTAAAACTGTGGTTATGTACTATTTTGCTTTAAAAAGTGATTTGTTTGTGTAGTATACATTTATATCCTTAAAAATTCAAGGAAATAGTGGTTGGTAGATTTATCTTAACCAAAATTGTGAACTGTAAAATAAAAAGAGTTGCTGGTTCCTAATGTCAGATAGCCAATGTTCCAAAAGGTACCCTTAGTTTAAACTAAGGAATTAATTAAGGAAGGAATTAAACTAAGGAAACTAAGGAAGCAGTTAAACTAAGGAACTGATATTTATACCATATGCCAGGCACTATATTAGATACTTCTTATGTTATTTAATCCTTACAACAACTTTGAGATATGTTTAATGAGTGCTGTTATACTCATTTTATATCAGTTTCTCCAATTGAAGTGCTGGAAAATAATTTACCCAGGGATGAGTTTGGAGTTTGAACTCAGTTCTATGTGACTTTAAAGCCTGACTTCCTCCAATTTTATCATTCTTCTATAAACATTTTATAGTACAAAAGAACCTACTCATTCTTACATATTTTTCCTTGATTCATTTTTTTCCTGTGGCATTTTGAAGCAGTCTTATTCTGTTTTGAAGCTGAAGACTATAGAATAATGCTGTCATGTCATGACGGACATGTTTTCCTTGCTGTCTAATATGGTAACGATTAGCCACTAGGGCTGTTTAGGACTTGAAATATAGTATGTAATTGAGGAAGTTAATTTTTAATTTTAATTTATTTTAAATTGTCAGTAGCCACATGGGACTAGTGGCTCCCTTATTGGACAGTGCAGTTACAGAGGATGTGAGTCAGAAACTGAGGGTAAAGTTCTTTAAGCATTGTTGTTGTTCAGTCACCCAGTCGTGTCTGACTCTTTGCTACCCCATGGAGTGCAGCACTCCAGGCCTCTCTGTCCCTCGCCGTTTGCCCAAGTTCATGTCCATTGCATTGGTGATGCCATCCAGCTATTTCATCCTCTGACACCCTCTTTGCCTTCTGCCCTCAATCTTTCCCAGCATCGGGGACTTTTCCAATGAGTCAGCTGTTCACATCAGATGACCAAAATACTGGAGTTTCAGCTTCAGCATCAGTCCTTCCAAATCAGCAGTGTTTATTTCCCTTAAGATCGACTGGCTTGATCTCCTTGCTGTTCAAGGGGCTCTCAGGAGTCCTCCCAGGCATCTTTGAGCATGTGTGTTTTTGTTAGTCAGTCATGCCCACTCTGTGAGCCCGCGAACTGCAGCCTGCCAGGCTCCTCTGTCCATGGAATTTCCTAGGCACAAATACTGGAGTGGGTTGCCATTTCCTTCTCCAGGGAATCTTCTCGATCCAGGGATCAAACCCAAGTGTCCTGCATTGCAGGCAAATTCTCTACCGTCCGAGCTACCAGGGAAGTCAAGATAATAAAGGAACTTTAGATTAATGACATAGTTCTTAGTAAGTGATTGAAGAAATAAAAGTCCTTCTTGAAAAAAAAATTTTTTAAACATGAGATATAGTTTATATACAATACAGTTTACTAATTTGATGAATTTTGACAAATGTATAGCATATGACCATTGTCATTAAGATACAGAATACATTTGTCACTCCAAAAAGTTGGTGGCCATTCTCCCTTCTCTTCATTTCCAACAATAGCAACTGATCTGCTTTCTGTAACTATAGTTTTGTCTTTTCTAGATTGTCATATAAATAATGGATACGGTGGGAGTCTTGTGTCTGATTTCTTTTCACTTAACACAGTACTGTTGAGATCGATCTTTGTTGTTGCAAGTGTCAGTATCTGTGTTCATTTCCTTTTTAGTGCATATTTTAGTTGTCACTATAGGTTTGGGTAGTTTATGTTCTGAATTCGGGTCATTTTCCTTGGATGGTTTCACTACTAGTATTTTCCCCTCAAATTTCCAGCTGCTTTTCTAACCCTGAGCTCTAAATCTGTTGTATTTTGTTGATAAGGGAGTAGTTTTCCCCACCTTTTGGCTGCCATAGCTATACAAGCTGGATAGTATCTCCAGGCTAAGAGGCTATTGCTTATAATTCATACACCTTCCATTTGTAATTTTTTGAAATTAAACTCTCTTCACTTTTCTATCTATATTTTGGACATGTTCCAAGATTTTAAATAGTTCATTTTAATCTAGTTTTCATAATTCTTATCTGCTAGGAGTTCACTTAAATTGAAGAAAGTAGGGAAAACCACTAGCACCATTCAGGTATGACCTAAATCAAATACTTTATGATTATACAGTGGAAGTGAGAAATAGATAAGGGACTAGATTTGATAGACAGGTGCCTGATGAACTATGGACGGAGAGTTTGTGACATTGTACAGGAGACAAGGATCAAGACCATCCCCAAGAAAAAGAAATGCAAAAAAGCAAAATACTGTCTGAGGAGACCTTACAAATAGCTGTGAAAAGAAGAGAAGCAAAAAGCAAAGGAGAAAAGAAAAAATATACCCATTTGAATGCAGAGTTCCCAATAATAGCAAGCAGAGATAAGAAAGCCTTCCTCAGTGATCAGTGCAAAAAAATAGAGGAAAACAATAGAATAGAAAAGACTAGAGATCTCTTCAAGAAAATTAGAGATACCAAGGGAACATTTCATGTAAGGATGGGCACAATAAAGGATAGAAATGGTATGGACCTAACAGAAGCAGAAAATATTAAGAAGAGGTGTCAGGAATACACAGAAGAACTATACAAAAAAGAGCTTCACGACCCAGATAATCACGATGGTGTGATCACTCACCTAGAGCCAGACATCCTGGGGTGTGAAGTCAAGTGGGTGTTAGGAAGCATCACTACGAACAAAGCTAGTCGAGGTGATAGAATTCCAGTTGAGCTATAATCAAATCCTAAAAGATGATGCTGTGAAAGTGCTGCACTCAATATGCCAGCAAATTTGGAAAACTCAGCAGTGGCCACAGGACTGGAAAAGGTCAGTTTTCATTCCAATCCCAGAGAGAGACAATGCCAAAGAATGCTCAAACTACCGCACAGTTGGACTCATCTCACATGCTAGCAAAGTGATGCTCAAAATTTTCCAAGCCAGGCTTCAATAGTACATGAACTGTGAATTCCAGATGTTCAAACTAAGTTTTCGAAAAGGCAGAGGAACCAGAGATCAAATTGTCAACATCCGTTGGATCATCAAAAAAGCAAGAGAGTTCCAGAAAAACATCTATTTCTGATTTATTGACTATCCCTTTGACTAAAGCCTTTGACTGTGTGGATCAAAACAAACTGTGGAAAATTCTTAAAGAGATCGGAATACCAGACAACTTGACGTGCCTCTTGAGATATCTGTACGCAGGTCCAGAAGCAATAGTTAGAACTGGACATGGAACAACAGCCTGGTTCCAAATAGGAAAAGGGATACATCAAAGCTGTATATTGTCACCCTGCTTATTCAACTCATATGCAGAGTATATCATGAGAAACGCTGGGCTGGATGAAGCACAAGCTGGAATCAAGACTGCCAGGAGAAATATCAATAACCTCAGATATGCAGATGACACCACCCTTATGGCAGAAAGTGAAGAACTAAAGAGCCTCTTGATGAAAGTGAAAGAGGAGAGTGGAAAAGTTGGCTTAAAGCTCAACATTCAGAGAGCTAAGATCATGGCATCTGATCCCATCACTTCATGGCAAATAGATGGAGAAACAGTGTCAGACTTTATTTTTTGGGCTCCAAAATCATTGCAGATGGTGACTGCAGCCATGAAATTAAAAGACGCTTATTCCTTAGAAGAAAAGTTAGCACCAACCTAGACAGCATATTAAGAAGCAGAGACATTACTTTTCCAACAAAGTAATTGTCTAGTCAATGCTATGGTTTTTTCAGTAGTCATGTGTGGATGTGAGAGTTGGACTATAAAGAAAGCTGAGCACCGAAGAATTGATGCTTTTGAACTGTGGTGTTGAAGAAGACTCTTGAGAGTCCCTTGGACAGCAAGGAAATCCAACCAGTCCATCCTAAAGAAAATCAGTTCTGAATATTCATTGGAAGGACTGATATTGAAGCTGAAACTCCAATACTTTGGCCACCTGATGGGAAGAACTGACTCATTGGGAAAGACCCTGATGCTGGAAAAGATTGAAGGCATCGGGGGTAGGGGGGAAGAGGAGGACAGAGGATGAGATGGTTGGATGGCATCACCAACTCAATGGACAAGTTGAGTAGACTCCAGGAGTTGGTGATGGACAGGGAGGCCTGGCATGCTGCAGTCCATGGGGTCACAAAGAGTCAGACACGACTGAGCAACTGAACTGAACTGAGGAGTTCACAGTCTGCTGATACTTGAAACTGAGTGTCCTGGAAAACTTCTGAGATTAAATATCTTTATATGAATATTTTGATATTCAATCAAATGTAGTAGTATTAGGTTTAGTGTTTTTGACCAGGTTTCAAAAGTGTAGAATTTTAAATAAATGTTGCCTTTTTTCACATAAATGAAGACTGTCTTTCTCATTTCTCCTCTATTATTATTCCACTACTGCTTTTTTAAACTTCCAAACCAGATTACTTGCTATTCCATAAATTAACTTCCCTACCACCTTGGCTTTGCTATGATTTTGTTTTGATAATCTCAGTTTTTAAGAACATAGGTTGTATATTTTTGCAGAGAATGTAGATTTCATGTTTTTTAACCATAATTTCAAGAATGGAGACATTTTTATGCAATGTATGCATGTTTAGTCATGTCTGATTCTTTGCAACCCTTTGGACTATAGCCCTCCAGGCTTTTCCGCCCATGGGATTTCCCAGGCAAGAATACTGGAGTGGGTTGCCATGCTCTCCTCCATGGGATCTTCCCGACCCATGATTGAATCCGCATCTCCTGCAGTGGCAAGCAGATTCTTTACCGCTGAGCCATCAGGGAAGCCCAGATATTTATATAGGCAGTGTCTGTTTTTTTCTTGACCATAGTTGAGCCTGGCTTCTCAATGTTCCCTTTTACTACCTTTCTACTCTCCTATTATTTCCCTAGACTCTTTCAGACTGCATTATCTTCTGTCACAAAGCCATGATGAACTTCCCTCCTCTCTGCCTTTGTTCATTCTTTCCTTCCTTCCTGAAATGTTCTCCCTCTGTTTGCCCCCAGTTTTCAGATTGTGAGTGTTCCTTCCATGTTGAATGTAACCTCCTTCATTAAATTTTTCTTTCTTGTTGAATTCTTTGTATATTACTTCTTTTACTTTATCTTGGAATATAGCTGTTGATACAAGTATTGTTCTTAATCCCCTCTATTTAAACTTGTTATCTTTGTTCCTCTTATAAACTGATTAATAATATAGCAATAGACACAGCAATTAGTATGAGCTAGGTTCTGTCCTTAGCACTATGAAAAGCAGAGGAATCGGGTGGAGAGGGAGGTGGGAGGGTGGATCGGGATGGGGAATACATGTAACTCCATGGCTGATTCATGTCAATGTGTGACAAAACCCACTTCAATATTGTAAAGTAATTAGCCTCCAACTAATAAAAATAAATGGAAAAGAAAGAAAAGTGAAGTCGCTCAGTCACATCCGACTCTTTGCGACCCCGGTTCTCCCGCATTGTAGGCAGACGCTTTATTTATTGTCTGAGCCAGAGGTTAAAGTGTCTGCCTACAATGCGGGAGACAAGGGTTCGATCCCTGGGTCCGGCAGATCCCCTGGAGAAGGAAATGGCAACCCACTCCAGTATTCTTGCCTGGAGAATCCCATGGACGGAGGAGCCTGGTAGGCTACAGTCCACAGGGTCACTGAGAGTTGGACACGACTGATCGACTTCACTTAGCACTATATATCAGCTCATTTAATCTTTGTAGCAACCTGTACAGTATGATTGTTAAAATTGTCCTCATTTTATGGAGCATAGAATGCAGTACAGAGAGATAAGATCCAAGGTCCTTCGGTGACCATGAATTAGGATTTAGATCACAAAAATTGTTAACCTTTTACCATCAATGTTTATAACCGTTATACTCTACTGTCTCACTGTGAAAATAGACATTGTGACAGATTTTCATGTCCTTTATGAGATTTTCTTCATGGTTATACCAGTGATCACTTAACTAAAGTAATTTTCCATCTTTTTCGCATTTCATATCCCATGCTTACCGAGGAGTAATTGAAGAATTACACTGTCTTCTCTGTTTCTGACAAAACCTAAAGAAAATATTAAAGTAAACTGAATCCAGTGTTAGCATTTTTATCAACTCTTAATCCATCTTTAAATTTATTTTTATTTATTTGGCTGCCCTGGGTCCTAGTTGTGGCACATGAACTCTTAGTTGCGGCATATGGGTTCTAATTCCCTGACCAGAAATCGAACGCAGATCTCTTGCATTGGAAACGTGGAGTGTTAGCCACTGGACCACCAGGGAAGTCCCTTAATTCATCTTTCAACATTAGGTTTAGTTTTGTGTAATCAAAATCCAAAATCCAAAATATTAAAATATTATTTTAGATCTGCCATCTCCAACTTCTAAAAAAACTAGGAATTTAATAGCAAAATTGATAGATTGCTTTATCTCTTTTTTAAAATTATACTAATATCGCCAATAAATAGTAAAAGGTAAAAAGTAGAATAAAAGCTCAGGTAAAAGGTAGAATAAAAGCCCTGAAACTCTAAAAGCCGGATAGTTTTTGTAGCATTGAGTTACATGAATTTGTGTAAGGGCTTGGTATATCTGATGTGTACAAGTTTTCTTATTATTTGTGTATAGTACATATTACTTTAAAATATTAACTTATCTTTTTGTTTTTTGTGTTTTTTAGTATACTATGTGGAATTTTGTTCCAAAAAATTTATTTGAACAATTCAGAAGAGTGGCAAACTTTTATTTTCTTATTATATTTTTGGTTCAGGTAAGCTTTATCATTCCGTAAATTGTTAAGATGATAGACATGAATGCTAAACAAATATCTTCAAGGAAAAGTTAACATTACATTCTAAACCATGTGACTATGGGACCCTTTTTTTTTTCTGCAGAGCTTCCCCATTGTATTCAGTGAATATAGTAATGTAAATCACATCAAGAGGTCTGAAGAATGGCCAGTGAATTTTAAGATCAGTTGTATTTTGTTTTATCACTTACGTGTTATAGTGCTGGTAATCATAATTAAAGCCAAGAAAATAGCATCATCCTTTCAGATGTTCTGCCTCAGAAAATAAATATTATGGCTTTTAACATACAGCACTTGTTTTTGGCACATTTCTGCCTGTGGAACCATCTTTGTACAAAATTAATCTTCCTTTGGTTTTTCTTTTTTTTAATTTATAGATTTTACTTTTATTTTAAAAGTTTTTATTATAATTTCTGAGGATCTTCATGAATATAGATTTTTATCCAGGAGGCCATTTTCTTAAACTAAATCTATATTCAACTTAAGCTCTTTAGTTTTTAATTTTTCACATTGTGCCTTTTTGTTCCCTAATATCAGAATATCAAGAGAACAGTATGAAACTTGAGTATAAACCAAGATTTAGAATTGATGATTGTTGTTTTCCTTCAAAGAGGTTTTTCTTTTCTGATGATACGTTAGCAGTCTCTTTCAGTGTGGCACTGAATTTTTTTAATAAACTCTGAACTTTTCTTTCCATAGAACCTGGACCTTCAAAAGAAAAAAAAAAACTTGTGAAGTAGTCACCTTAAAGCTTGAGGAAGCTTTTTTTTTTTTTTAATTGCTTCTCTTTGTGAGCAGAAAAAAAGAAATTCTGGTTTTTTTTGTTGTTGTTGTTTTTTTTAATCAGCAGACCATCAGCTTGCTTAGTCGAAAAAAACGAGAAATTTATACTTATTGCATACAAGTAACATGCATTTGTGAAATCTGTCTGTGGAATAGAACAAACTTAATTGGCCTAACCAGAATAAAGCAATATTAATAAATTATTAGACCCATGTTCTAAATAACCAAATATAATTACTGCAAATATTTCTTCTAAAGCAGTTTATTGAAACATCAGTTATATGATTTAGATAATTGCAGCATCGTTTTCCAAGTTGTACCCTTCTGGTTCTACTAGCTGTAACAAAATCACTTGTAGAAAGAAACCGTTTCCCTAGTCCCATTTCTTGTTTTCTCTCCAGTGTGAGTTTATTCTGGATCCCAGAATAAAAATTGACAGATTTTTTTTTTTTTTAGCATTTCTCTGGATGGGCAAAGAAATGTGAATTGAGATTCTGAATAGCTGTAGCTCCCCTCCAAGACAAATACTGAGGAAGACCTTAAGTACTCTGTGTGTTAAGAAAGCAGAGAAACTGAGTCCACTCTAGCAATATTTGTGGGTATGCAATAGATTTAGATAGTCTACTAACCCCATATAATAGCTAACAAAGTGTACTTGTGAAACTGTGAAGTAAACTACATTCACTGCATAATCTCTCTCAAGTTACTTTTTCATCTGAACTATGACATGTATTTTGTATAATGTTTTCAGATTTCCCAATAATTATGAGATTCTAGATGTTAATAGTGATATGTACAATATAAAATATAATACTCTGCCTTCTTTCTTTTTTAATGCAGCTTATGATTGATACACCTACCAGTCCAGTTACCAGTGGACTTCCATTGTTCTTTGTAATAACAGTTACTGCCATAAAGCAGGTATGAAATATTTTCTGTTGCTTGCTTCCTTCCCAAGTCATTCAGAAGTTAACTTAATATTTCTCCTCCAAAGTAAGATTTATTGTTGTGAAAGTAATTTTCATAAGAAAGCAAATTTAGGGCTTTCCTGGTGACTCAGAGATAAAGAATCCATCTGCCAAATCAGGAGACATGGGGTCAATCCCTGATCTGGAAAGGTCCCACATGCCATGGGCAACTAAGCCTGTGTGTCGCAAATTCTAAGCCTGTGCCCTCGAGCCCAGGAATCACTGCTGCTGAAGCCTGCGTGCCCTGGAGCTTGTGCTCTGCAACAGGAGAAGCCACTGCAGTGAGAAGCTCCTGCACTAGAGAGTAGCCCCTGCTCCCTGCAACTGGAGAAAAGCCCGCACAGCCATGAAAGACCTAGCACAGCCAAATAAATAAATAAAATTATAAAAAGAAAAAAAGCAGCAAATTTGTTTGATACTGCATATGGTAAAAATTAGGTAGAACGCTTTACCCCCTGAGCTACCGGAGAAGCCTGCGTATGGTAAAAATTAAACGGAAGTAAGCCTCTCTTATCAGGTACCTGGTGACTGATGGAATGATTACAGTTATTAAAGTATGTTGTTCCTTTAACATACTTAAGAAGTATCCAAAAGCAAGCATTTTTTAGGTACAAGCCAAGTTATGTGTGAAACAGGTTGTTATAATCATCTTTGTAGAGTTTGGTAGTGTTTAAAGGATATATAATTCAAAGGAAGGGGGTATGTTTAGAAGTGAATATGTACTTCTGGCATGAACATTTTTGAATAAAAATTGTATAGTACTTTCCTACTTTTTACAGCTTTCTCTGTGAAATTGATTTTTATGTAAAGTAGTACTCTAAGGGAATAGCTTCAACTAGATCTGATTTGATATTAAAATCTAGGTATAGAAAAACAGCATTATTGGATAAGCATGACAAGAAATTTTAAAATTCCTAGAAGCGTCATGTTTATATAGCTACCACTTCTCAAAATATCTTGGCAGAAGCTCAACTATACAGAACTGCTCCCTTCCTCTTGAAAGAGTTAATTTGAATTTTCATGTGCCAGTTTGAGAAGTTTTCAGTTTGTAAGATTTAGGGATAAGATTTAAATTGACATAGAAACAAAATTGGCGAACATTTTGTAATTCTGAGATGTAGTGTATTTATTATTTATTTGGTAAAGGTAAGGGAAGTCTATAAATCAACAGTTAATCTAGTGTGTCTGAATAGCTTGCTAGTGCTGTAAGTTTGATTTCCCTTTATTCACTGCTGTTGGAGACTAGGATTTTTGTAAGTCAGTAAGCATCCAGATCACTTAATACAATTACATATTCATTTGGTTTTGTAGATGTCATTTATTGCATCAGAGTAACAAATATTTGTCCATTGGGCTTCTTTTTTATATATAATTTTTTCTTTGGTGATTTCATCAAGTCTAGTGGGTTTCTAATTTACATGTATCCGGAAACTATGCTCTGAACTCCAGAGACACATATATAACAATTTGTGCTTGAAAATTCAACTATTTCCTCTTGAACACCTTAGGCTTTTCCTGACCTCTGTGTCACTGTCTCATTCCCTGCTCTGGTCTTTTTGCTTATATCATTTCTCATTCACTGCCTATTCTATTGAATAAATGCTTATTTGTTTGTCTGTCACCTTCATTTGAATGTTTAGTTCTCTGAGGGCAGAGACTTTGTTTTATATTATCAGTTTGTTACCAGTGACCAGAACAAGGTTATGCACATATTTGACATGACATAAATATGTGATAGATGAATAGATGAATGAATGAACCTCTTGAATATTTTTAAGAAAGTGTTAAATGTTGCAATACTTCTTTCCTTGGTTTCCCAGTATAAATTTGGCCAAATAAAGAGTGGATTTAGTTGGAATATGATGCTGTAACTAAGTTGAAAAGATGTTGGTGAGTTTATAATATATCTGCCAAAGGAGTGAGTTTAATATAATAACTTACAACCTGTCTCTTTCCAAAATGAGTCATTTGTCAAGATGGGAGACATTGGAAATGCAGCAGATTTTAAGGATAACATCATCAATTTAGTTTTTAAATGTTTAATGTTATTTATGAGACATCAAAATGAAGATATTAAGAATACAGTTGGATATATACATTTATTAGAGTCCAGAGATACAGGCTGGAGATAGAAATTTCAGAATTTTTTGAAGACACAGGGATAAAGAAATCTTGTATAGTAAGTAAGAGAAGGGTGAAAAAAGGGCCCATTAAGATGATATAGAAGGAGGCTCCCATAGTAAATTGAGAAGAAATAACTGGAGAGGTACTGTGAAAACCAGGAACATGTGTGTGATGAAAACCAAGTGAAGAGAGTGTTTCTAGCAGTAATGAATGCCAAAGTAGTCTAACATGGTTCTAATGAATGAAATGTTTTGGGGAAATTATGTGTCTTTTTCTCAATTGATAAAAGTATCTCTGGGGATGGGAATGGCAATCCACTCCAGTATTCTTGCCTGGAGAATTCCATGGACAGAGAAGCCTGGCGGGCTATAGTTCGTGGGGTCGCAAAGAGACACAACTGAGCGACTAACACACACACACATATCTTCTAATTATACTCAGAGGAGCTTTTTTTATTCTTTTGATGTTTACAGGGTTATGAAGATTGGTTAAGACATATCTCAGATAATGAAGTAAATGGAGCTCCTGTTTATGTTGTTCGAAGTGGTGGCCTTGTAACAACTAGATCAAAAAATATTCGGGTATGCATTTAATAAATAATAGAAATCAATTATATTTTAAAAACAAAAATTCTAATCTGATTATATTTTAGTTAAACTCTGCTTTCCTACATTAAAATATTGTAGTAGATCACTTGTTTAGAACCCAATAAAAGTATGTCCTGCCTTTAAAAATCTGTATATTCACTTTTCCCTAAAATTCTTCATAGGTGGGTGATATTGTTCGAGTAGCCAAAGATGAAAGTTTCCCTGCAGATTTGGTGCTTCTGTCCTCAGATCGACTTGATGGTTCTTGTCACGTTACAACTGCTAGTTTGGATGGAGAAACTAACCTGAAGGTTTGTACATGTGTATGTTTGAGCGTGGCTCTTGGTGAACAAAACGTCTCTGGATTATAGTGGTATTTTCCTTTGGTTAAGATAATAAAGTTGGACCCGATAAAGGAGAAATGTTTTAAATTACTGTTAAGTACTCCATGAAAGTACACATTTTACTTCAAGGTTAGCCTCACATGGTTTAGTCAAGTTAAGAAAAGTAAAAAGTGCTTTGGAGAAACTATAATCTTTTAATATACTGGTGCTTTCTTAAATAGGGGGCACATTTAAATTTTTCTCAGTTTTTACAGTACAATCAGAAATTTTACTTGATTCACTTTTTTCTCCCTGTTAAATTTATTTGCAATAAACTTTGAGCAGTAATGACTATTAACACACTTACAGACTTAATTTCCTTGTATGCAAATGGCCTTTGTAGACAGTTAATCACAGTAGCTCCTTTTATTGCTTGTTACTTTACATTCTTCTTTCTCTTCTCTTCTGCCATCTAGCTTAGTGATCTCAAGTACAGAATGCTATGATCTCATTTATAAAAGAGATTTGAAATAAATGATGTCTAAGGTCCCATTTAGATCTCAAAACTATGGGCTTTAACTTTTCTTTTTTTTCAGACACATGTGGCAGTTCCAGAAACAGCAGTATTACAGACAGTTGCCAATTTGGACACTCTTATAGCTGTGATAGAATGTCAGCAACCAGAAGCGGACTTGTACAGGTATGATATAGTCACCATATTCATTTTAAGTCTGTTTACAGATCTCATTTTTTACGGTCATAAAACATGCAATGAAATAGCTGTTTGAAGACATTGGGGGTTGCAAGGTGGGAGATCAATTAAATGGGGGCAAAGCTAAAAGCATTCTAAGCTGAAGTATTAAAAGCTGTGCTTTTACTCACATGTTCCTCCCTTTTATCTTCTACTTTGGGGTGAGCTGGCTTTATAACAATAGCAGTAAACATTATAATAGTAGTTATGAGGGAAATAAAATTATTTCCTTAGAGGAAAGTAATCTAATGGGGTGTGTGTGTATGTATGCATGCAGGCACATGTGTATATGTGCTCCATGAAGGGCCATGTCTTTGTGTTCGTTAGGAACTAACTCATTTTAACACTGTAAGTCATCTTTCAGTGAGCTATATGCTAATTATTGCCATCTATGAAATGGAAACAACTTTCATTATTAAAGAGAAAACTGCTCATTTTTACTCAAAAACGGGTATATAAATCACAACCACATTGTAAAAATTGACTTCAGCTTTTTGTCATTCTCTGCATTTATTGGCTTAAGATATTACATTAGTCATTGGCTTTTTCAGATCTCTTAATATCTTTGTTCTGAATCCATACATTTATAATGGAATATTCTCTGTGTGATTTTAAAAGCTTACATATTCATCAAAAACAAAAACAATGTGGAATTTTCCACTTAACTGTAAAAATTTGAAGTTCTGTGCATTTAAATTATAAGATACGTTTAACTGTGAAGAATTCAGTGCTTTGAGTTCTATATTGCTGTTATTTCTAAGTCTCAGAAAAGGGTGAATTATAAAAGGATTATTGAAAACTAGAAAATGATGCAGCATTAAGAAAGCATAAGATTAATAATGAGATCAAATGTGACTAATGCTTTGAGTGGTTTTGCCTTATTTGAAAAATGGGGAGAAAGGTTAAAAAAGCTTTTTAAAATAAGAAATACAACATTTTATTGTGACCACTGAGAGCACCTGACCCCCTGGTCTGCTCTTAATCAGAATACATAATTTATAGCCAAATGTCAAGTCATCTTTGAACTTGTATCCCTACCCCCAGCCAGGGTTCTATTCCCAGGCCCAGCATAACTCCTTGAGTGTCAGAGTTGTGGATAATTGCATAAAAACTACAATATTCTGCCTTAGGAGGCTGCAAAGCAGAATGGAAAAGGAGAGTGGCAAATTCAAGAAAGCCATGGGCAGAGTCCAAGCAGTAGTTTTTAGAGGGCAAGAAAGTCCCAGGATGTCAGTAGTCACAAGGGGAACAAGATGCTGAGGTCACAATCTGGAGGAGAATGAAGGGTGGAAGAGGCCTGGGCTGGGAAGCAGTCTTGGTCCAGAAGGGGTCAGCCAGAATTAGAAACCCTGGAGGCTGTGAATCAAAGAGCAGTGGATCAACTCTTCTGACACAGAAGAGTCGGACAGCTGGTCAGAATGGAGAAGGTGACAGCACCGCCCATGACCTGTAGCAGCAGCAGAAGCAGGGTGAGGTTTCTCTCACTCATGGGCCCAAAGACTTTAATTAGCAAGTGGATGAGGGTCATGTTGTTACACTCCTTGAAGGCACTGTCCTCATTCTCATTCTGGTGCACTGTCACTAGCCTGAGGCTCTCTGCTACCAGTTATGGTAGAGCAGTTCCATGGTGGTAGAGGAAAAAAGGTATGAAGTAGAAGGAAAAGACATGATCATCCCAGGAATCACCTTCCAGCTCCACTAGGAGGTTGAAGACAATGATGGAAGCAGAAATGACTAGCAACTGGCCAGCCTCTAGGCTGTTAATTCCTGCTACAATTTTGATGGCAAAAGTGGGTGAAATAGACCATAAGGAGAGCTAGTGAGACAGCTGTGGGCAGCAGCAACAACTTATGGCACCAGCCCATATTTGTACATCATCTGCAAAGCCCAGGAAAATCATGCAGGGGATGGCAGGGAGCGCACTGCATAGTGGGGGAAGGCTTTACACTGCTCCTCCACAAATGAAACAGGATGAAGCAGAAGAGCATGAGAAGGAAAACAGCACTACTGATCACTCCCTGAGAATCTAAGAATACTAATTTTTTAAAGTGATTGATTTTTTTTAATGACACTAAAAATTTTTAGTGACTGATTTACCTTTGTAATTTCTAGTACAAATATTGGATCATTCATACATGCAAAAGGTTGGTTTTGTTTCATGTGTAAGAATAGTGCCAAAACTTCCCTAAAAATTTCCACCTATTGATGTCATAAATGTATTATTAGTTTTTTCGTAACATGATGAATTCTTTGATAGATTCATGGGACGAATGACAATAACTCAACAAATGGAAGAAATTGTAAGGTAAGAAATTTGCATTATCCAGTCACTTTTAAGTGAAAATTGTTTGGGGAGGGACTAAAATCAAGTTAAAGGGAGATTAGATAAGTAAGCAATGCGATCATGAAAAAAAGTTGAAAACATTTAACATTTCATTTTCTAGCAAATTTCCAGCAGCGGCAAATGAGATGAGGATGAAGCAAATGCCGTGAAATAACATTAAAATAAGTTAGTAAGATTATTGGTGTACTAGTATTTTTTTGTCTAATAATATTAGGTAGTATTAATAATATTAGATAGTAACATAAAGGAAACACTGGTTCCTGTTCACATTCTTACACATTTAAACTACCACCACCTAAGTCTAGAATACAAAAAATGTCTTATGGTCATCTTCACTTCAAAATCATTCCTCAGAAACTAGAGTACTGGGCAATCTAGAACTTCTTATTTACTCTTCTGTTTGGTTGGTTGGTTGGTTTGGTTTGTTTTCCCTCAATATTCAGGTTAATTTCTGGGAACATACAAGAAAAACTTCTTGTCCTATCAAAGATTTTCTGATAGGGTGAGATTACATTGTTACCCATGACCACAAAGCTGAATTTAGAATAAATCTTGGAATCAACCCTTGAACTTCTAATTAAATTAGCATTCCGCCTATTTTCTGGAAATGTTCAGTTTATATTGGCTGCATAAAATAAGATACTAACAAAGAATTGAGAATTTGTTTTAATAAAATCTTCAAGATAAGCCACCAAAAATATGCATCAGGATGGATTCCCATTTTTAATAAAAGTTAACATGGAAGCACGCTCAGTGAACTCTGTGACAAGGTCTTTGTAGGTTTAGGGACTCCTGCTCAACAACAATGACTGGATTTTATTTTGATTTCTATAGTGACATATTGGAATGCTTGTGTGGATACATAGTATGACTTGCATAAAGATATTGTGGCTGGTAAAAGAAAAGATCAACTATGTTAGCAAGTAGAATGGTTTTTTTGGTTTGTTTGTTTTTTTAAGGGAGCCTTGTTCTTTGCTGAGGCAACCAGAGTAAACAAGTGAATTTTTTAGTTTGAAGCTTTCCACCGTTATATCCTAATTTTATATGCCAACTTGAGCTCGAAGTTTTTCTATTCATTGTTGGAACCAAATGAAAAAGAACTGTAATAAGTCTCCTGAATAATTGATTTTGGAATATCCATTTAGTGTGTTCCAAATATATGATCTAATAAAACCATACTTGTTATACATAGCCAAACACCTGGCCCCCTGTATTCACTGGATTTTTTTTTAGTGTTTGGGTTTATAGACCTCTTCAAAATTGGTTCAGATTCTGTTTAATTTGGATAACCTTGTATGTATATTTCTGGAAAGCCTTATGATAAGGAATATCAACAAAATTAAAGCTTTTTAATCCATCCATTACAGAGTTATCATTTGCTATCACTAAGAAAATACAATTTTCCTTTCTAGTTATTTCTTCTCGTTTTACATCTCCCTTATGGAGAGAAATTCAAACAGCAAGAAGACCCCATGCTCCAAGAAGTATGCAATGCAAGTAGTCAACTTGTAGTGTTGATCTTGCCTTAAAAAACTACTAACTCACTTGCTATGTTATCTTTTGTAACCTAGTATAATTTTAATTGTGCAGAAAACATGCAGTTGTATACGAATCATACTACAATTTATGTTTACATTGCTTTTTTTCTTCACACAGCCTGTTTACATTGCATTTTAATTCTGTATTTTCCCTTTAAAAACTGTTTATTGATTTTGGTCAAAATTTTAAAATTTTGTCTTCTTGAAGTTATCACTTAATTTTTTGGTTTTGTGGCTTTCTGATTATATCTACAGGCATAATCTTATTTCTGAGTCATTAACCTTAAAATGACTGAAATGCTAAAGCAGATGTTTGTTGTTACAGTAACTAACATCATGATTGACCTAGACAGCCTTATACTAGCTGAGATTTTGGTTTTATTTGAAAGCATTGTTGTAAGTAGAGCTTTAGGTCCCTTCTGTCTGCTAAAGATGCCATTTAAAATTTAATTGAATATTTAATATATTTAATGCTTTTGGTTATTTTTCCCCCTAGACCTCTGGGGCCAGAGAGTCTCTTGCTTCGTGGAGCCAGATTAAAAAACACAAAAGAAATTTTTGGTTCGTATATATCAAAAAATTTTAATAATAGATTTGTTTTGATGCTTTACATGAAGTATTTTTGAAAGCATAGCATTTGTGTTATTTTGGTTAGATAATTTATTATCTACGATAATTTTCTTTAAAAGATTGTGTTAATATAATTTTGTGTTGTATTTTTTCTTAATTCCTACTTTTGAATACTAGATTAGAACCTTGCTGTTATATTTTCTTCTGAATACTTCTGCTAAAGAAGATAATTCTGGCATTTGTATTAATGGTGTTAAGAACTATATTATCTGGCACCATGGTGCAATAAACCACTTGTATAATTCCATTATAGTTAGATTGGGTTGTTAAAACTGCTAGCTCATTTATTCCTTCAGCAAATTCTTACTGATCTGTGACTGTATATCAGATGCTGTTTTAACATACACTGACTGGATCAAAGGATAAATAGTGTTCTTGCATTGGAGATCTCAATTCACTGTGCTCTGAGTCAACTCTAGGTAAATGGTGAAGTTAATGGTAACCTTTAGCTGTCAACTAGCTCCTCAGCTTTAAGGAATGGCCTGTTAGCTTTTGAGCTCTTCTTTCTCATTCTTTTGTTTTCTGTTAACTGTACTATATCTTATCAGTGTTAGGCTCTCTGATAAAGAAATCCATGATTTTTTAAAAAGGAGAATAATGCGTGTGACAAAAATGTGGAGAGATTGGAACTCTCATACATTGCTGGTAGGAGTAGAATGTTCCAGCTGCTATGGAAAATAGTTTGGCAGTTCCTCAATAAGTTAAACGTAGAATTATAAACATATCATCTGGCAATGCTTCTTCTAGATATATACCTTAAAGAATTGAAGACAGGTGCTCAAACAAAGGCTTGTATGAGAATGTTCAAAGCAGCATTGTTCATAATAGCCCAAAGGGTAGGAACTGCCCAAATGTCTATCGACTAATGAGTGGATAAACAAAATGTAGACTTTCCAACTAATGGAATATTACTCCCCTATAAGAAATGCAGTACTGATACATGCTGCAACATAAACTTTGAAAACATTATGCTGAGTGAAAAAAATCAAACAGAAAAGGCCACATATTGTATGATTCCATTTATTTAAAAAGCCCAAAATAAGCAAATTCATAGAGACAGAAACTAGATCAGTGGTTCCCAGGAGCTGGAGGGTGGGAATGGGAAATGATTGCCTAATGGGTTCAGGGTTTTTTTGGCGGGGGGTGGTGGTGAAATATTCTTAGATAGTAAGGATGGTTGCACAACATTGTAAATGTAACTAAGCACCTCTGAATTAAAAAGGTAAATTGTATATTATGTTTATTCTGCCACAATTTAAAAAAGGAAACCATAGTAAAGTTTTATGGTTTAAAAAGTCCAGAGAAACCTCCAGGACTTTTAGGCCCTCTCATATAATGCTGTATTTTAACACCTCTCTAGCAGTAATACCTTTCACAGTCTTAAATTTCAGGAAATGTGTATTCCTTTAGATGAGTTTGTTGCTGTTTTCTTCAGCACCGCCTCTATGTGTTGTACCATTCTGTGTGATTTCTAGAATTTCTTTTTTTTTTTTTAATTTCAATACTTTATTTTCTGCTTTTATTCTGTCTTATTGCTGAGCAAAATGTGTTATCAGGAAATTATTGTTCCTTTACAAGTGATCTTTTCTCATTGGCTGATATTAAGATATTTTGGTTCTCCAATAATTGCAGATTGATTTCTCACATTTCTATAATTTTCTTGGCCTTTATCATTTGAGTTGTAATCTCTGCCTTTAAGGAATAATTCTAATAGTGAAAATTCCAGCACAGATCTTTAGGAAGAGAGCATAATGAATATTGTTCCTCACATCATACTGTTTAGGAATAGGCATAAACATTTATTGATCGTCTTTCTATTTCTAGCCTTTTGGCTAATTTGTCACACAACCTTGGAACAGTTTTAATGAGGTATTTTTTCCCATGTAAAGATGGAGAAATTGAGACAAGGAAAGATTAAATAACTTGCTCAAGGTTGCAGAACTAAGTGGCAGAGCAAGCATTCAAACAAAGTTCTAAAGCTCCAAAGTTTTTTTTTGTTTTTTTTTTTCATTTATTTTTATTAGTTGGAGGCTAATTAATTTACAATATTGTAGTGGTTTTTGTCATACATTGACATGAATCAGCCATGGATTTACATGTATTCCCCATCCCGATCACACCCCCCACCTCCCTCTCTATCCGATCCCTCTGGGTCTTCCCAGTGCACCAGGCCTGAGCACTAGTCTCATGCATCCAACCTGGACTGGTGATCTGTTTCACCCTAGATAATATACATGTTTCGATGCTGTTCTCTCGAAACCATCCCACCTTCGCCTTCTCCCACAGAGTCCAAAAGTCTGTTCTGTACATCTGTGTCTCTTTTTCTGTTTTGCATATAGGGTTATCATTACCATCTTTCTAAATTCCATATATATGTGTTAGTATACTGTAATGGTCTTTATCCTTCTGGCTTACTTCACTCTGTATAATGGGCTCCAGTTTCATCCATCTCATTAGAATTGATTCAAATGAATTCTTTTTAATGGCTGAGTAATATTCCATGCTGTATATGTACCACAGCTTCCTTATCCATTCGTCTGCTGATGGGCGTCTAGGTTGCTTCCATGTCCTGGCTATTATAAACAGTGCTGCGATGAACATTGGGGTGCATGTGTCTCTTTCAGATCTGGTTTCCTCAGTGTGTATGCCCTTCTAGAAGTGGGATTGCTGGGTCATATGGCAGTTCTATTTCCAGTTTTTTAAGAAATGTCCACACTGTTCTCCATAGCGGCTGTACTAGTTTGCATTCCCACCAACAGTGTAAGAGGGTTCCCTTTTCTCCACACCTTCTCCAGCATTTATTGCTTGTAGACTTTTGGATAGCAGCCATCCTGACTGGTGTGTAATGGTACCTCATTGTGGTTTTGATTTGCATTTCTCTGATAATGAGTGATGCTGAGCATCTTTTCATGTGTTTGTTAGCCATCTGTATGTCTTCTTTGGAGAAATGTCTGTTTAGTTCTTTGGCCCATTTTTTGATTGGGTCATTTTTCTGGAACTGAGCTGTAGGAGTTGCTTGTGTATTTTTGAGATTAATCCTTTGTCTGTTGCTTCGTTTGCTATTATTTTCTCCCATTCCGAGGGCTGTTTTTTCACCTTGCTTATAGTTTCCTTTGTTGTGTAAAAGCTTTTAAGTTTCATTAGATCCCATTTGTTTATTTTTGCTTTTATTTCCAATATTCTGGGAGGTGGGTCATAGAGGATCCTGCTGTGATTTATGTCAGAGAGTGTTTTGCCTATGTTCTCCTCTAGGAGTTTTATAGTTTCTGGTCTTACATTTAGATCTTTAATCCATTTTGAGTTTATTTTTGTGTATGGAGTTAGAAAGTGTTTTAGTCTCATTCTCTTACAAGTGGTTAACCAGTTTTTTTTTTCTTTTTTAATAAGACAGCTCTTACCTAATTTCAAGACTGCTCTTCTCAGTTTTAGTCCCATTATTACTGTCATTCTCTTTCATCTCAGAGTCCTTCTCATAGGCACGTGTTTTTAGAACAGAGTTTCCTTGTATTTACTTCATTTACTCTGACAGATTTCCATATTATCTTTCTAGTGCTCATGAGATTATGTCTAGACTCCAGATCCTGGCATTCAGGGCCTTTCAAACTGACCCCAATCCATTGTTGCAACCTAATAGAAAGTGCTTTTCCATTTCTGTCTTTGCCCTGAACTTAGTGTACTGTTTGCTATATCTATAATGGCATTTTCTGCCATCTTTATCTTTCCAAATTCTTTGCCCTATCAGTTCCAACTCAAGTAATACCGCTTTCATTCAAATATCTCAGTTATAATTCAGGAACAGAATCTATATGCCTTTCTCAGTCAGCAGGCTGAATGACTGGAGTTGCCCAAAAACCTCTGGGACTTAAAGGAAAGCCGAATTTAACAACTGTTTTCTTCAGTTGCTTTCATGCTAGTGAGTACATTCCTTTTGTGAAACATGGTGGAGGATTAGCTTAAGACTGTTTTGTTTTTCAGGTGTTGCTGTTTATACCGGAATGGAAACTAAGATGGCGTTAAATTACAAGAGCAAATCGCAGAAACGATCTGCAGTAGAAAAGTAAGAAAACTATTTTATTTACACATAAATATGACTGTTGATATGGATATTATTACATATATATATAAAATATGTGGTATAAATGTATGTTTCAAGTCAACAAAAGTTGATATCCTTGAGGATAGGGAGAGTTTCTCATTTTTATTTAATTCTGATTTATTGACATATAGTTGATGAATAATTAGTTTCAGGTGTTGTATGTGGTGATTTGACATTTGTATCAATTGTGAAATGATACAGTGAGACTAGTGATCATCTGTCCCCATACAAAGTTATTGCAGTATTACTGACCATATCCCTTATACAGATATTACATCCTCATGTCATTTATTTTATAACCAAAGGTTTGTACCCCTTAAACCCTTTCACCATTTTACCCATTCCCCCAACCCCGTCAAGCAGCTACCTGTTTAATCTATGAGTCTGTTTTCATTTTGTTTTTTTTGGATTCCACATATAAGTAAGATCATATGGTGTTTGTCTTTCTCTGTCTGACTTAACATAATACCCTTTAGATTCATCCATGTCACTGATGGCAATATTTCATTTTTTATGGCTGAGTGATATTCTACTGTGTGTATATATACCACATCTTTTTTATCCATTCATCTATTGGTAGACACTCAGGTTGCTTCCATATCTTGGCTATTGTAAATAATGCTACAGTGAACCTTGGGTGCATATATCTTTTCAAACTAGTGTTTTTGTTTTCTTTGGGTAAATACACAGAAGTGAAGTTGCTGGACCATATGGCAGTTCTGTTTTTACCTTTTTTGAGGAACCTCCATATTGTTTTCCACAGTGGCTGTGCCAATTTACAGTCTCACCATTGGTGTATTCAGTTCAGTTCAGTCACTCAGTCCTGTCCGACTCTTTGTGACCCCCATGGACTGCAGCACTCCAGGCCTCCCTGTCCATCACCAACTCCTGGAGCTTACTCAAACTCATGTCCATCAAGTCAGTGATGCCATCCAACCATCTCATCCTCTGTCATCCCCTTCTCCTCCTGTCTTCAGTCTTTCCCAGCATCGGGGTCTTTTCCAGTAAGTCAGTTCTTCTCATCAGGTGGCCAAAGTATTGGAGTTTAGCATCAGTCCTTCCAGTAAATATTCTGGACTGATTTCCTTTAGGATGGACTGGTTGGATCTCCTTGCAATCCAGGGGACTCTCAAGAGTCTTCTCCAACACCATAGTTCAAAAGCATCAGTTCTTCAGCACTCAGCTTTTTTTATCGTCCAACTCTTATATCCATACATGACTACTGGAAAAACCATAGCTTTGACTAGACAGACCTTTGTTGGCAAAGTAATGTCTCTGTTTTTTAATGTGCTGTCTAGGTTGCTCATAGCTTTTCTTCTAAGGAGCAAGGTCTTTTAATTTCATGGCTGCAGTCACCATCTGCAGTGATTTTGGAGCCCCCCAAAATTAAGTCTCTCATTGTTTTCCTAATTGGTGTATTAGAGTTCCCTTTTTTCCTCATCCTCAGCAACACTTGTCATTCGTTGTATTTTTGATGATAGCCATTCAGACAGATATGAGGTGGTATCTCGTGGTTTTGATTTGCTTTTCCCTGATGATTTAGAAAAATATCCAATTAGATCTTTTGCCAGTTTTTTAATCTGATTGTTTTTCTGATTTTAGGCTATGTGAATTTTTATATATTTTGGATATTAACCTCTTGTCAGATATATTATTTGTAAAGTTTTCTCTAATTCAGTAGGCTGCTTTTTCATTTTATTGATAGTTTTCTTCACTGTGCAAAAGCTTTTTAGTTTGATATAGTCCCTTCTTGCTTTTGTGCCTGAGGAGATGGCAAATATACATATATGTATATATTTTGGCCATGCCATACAGCATGTGGAATATTAGTTCTCCAACCAGGGATCGAACCTGGGCTCACAGCACTGAAAGCTCAGAGTCCTAACTACTGGACCACCAGGAAACCATCCCTCCAAATATTAAGATCAATGTCAAAGAGGAATGGATGGTTTCTAACATTTCTGCATACATGTAGCATTTTGCACAATGTTTGGCATATTGCAGGTACTCAAATTATGATTTTAAAACAAATACTGTTGAATAATAATGGAACTCCTTGAGCAGACTAAACCTCCTGCAGATAACAATTATAAAATCTGGGCAGAATACTAATAAACAAGTATTTGAAAGCATTGGAAAGTGATCAAAAACATAAACTGGCAAGGAGTCTACTCCTGAAAAATGACAGCAGCAAAAGGGGGGAGTGCATCTTCTTACTTGAGGGCCCTTTTTACTTACTATGCTACTGCACAGGCTATGAGAGAGACTGAGCTGTATAGTGTGTAGATGTTAAAGGACGAAGTTCAAAGCTGAAGGAGCAGCTAAAAAGGGAAAAATCATTTAAGGGAATGAACTCCAAAACAGGCACATAAATTCTGCCCAAATCCTTGACTGACTGTTAGAACTATTCATGTACAGGGGAGACTCCAGTGGGCTTGGCAAAAAGTCAGTACCAAGAAGCTGAAAGAACCGAACAGAGAATTTTGCTGTTTCAACAGCAGTAGAAAACAGAATTTGATGTTTGAAGCTAGTCACGTTAACTCCCTGCTGAAATAAAAATCAGCACTCATATGAGGAAACATAAAAGAATACAGTCTCTATAATGTATTATTTATAAAATCCAATATGTAGTCAAAAATAAGCAGATATGAATAAGGACCTACTGTATAGCACCTGGAATTATGCTCAATGTTATGTGGCAGCCTGGATGAGAAAGGAGTTTGGGGGAGAATGAATACATGTGTATATATGGCTGAGTCCCTTCACTCTACACCTAAAAGTGTCAAAACATTGTTAATTGGCTATATACCTCAATACAAAATTAAAAGTTTTAAAAAAACTTGTATTAGTAAAAAATGTAAATAAGTACCATAACTAATATATTGTAATTATATACCTTTTTATTTTACTATTTGATTTTGTACTTAGTTTGTAATATGGTTATCATATAAAATTTTTATTTAGTTGAAACTATCAGTAATTTTCTTTATGGTTTTTATGTATTGTGTTTTACTTTAAAAAGGAGTTACGTAAAGCAAGGTTAAAGTTCCCCTGTTTTTTGTTCTGGTGAAAAAAAGAAAAAGCAGACATGAAGGAAATGTAACTCATAGAACTCAATAGAAACTATGTAATGATTTAGACCTTGTAATTAGTAGACAAGAACTTGGTAAAGGATTTTATAAATATGTTCAGGAGCCTAAAGGTAGGTGTGAATGAACATATGTGAAATCTCAACAGATTAAATGGAAACTATAAAAGAATGCAGTGAAAATTCTTGAGTTGGAAAACATGATTATTGGAATATAAATGTCGTAAGATGGACTCAATACCAGATTAAGGGAAGCAGAAGTTGTCAGTGAATTTGAAAGAGCAATAGACATCAGTCTGAAGAACAGAGAAAGAAAATTGAAGAAAAACAGAGTTTCAGAATCATGTGGAACAATATTAAGCTATCTAGCATAAATTTAATTGAGTCCCTGCCCCTGAAAAAAAAGAAAAAAAAAAAAGAGCAAAAGGGGAAGAATAAAAATCTTTGAAAAAATAATAACTGAAATTTTCTAAATTGCAGGAAGAAAACAATGATAATTTTAAATCCAGCATATTAAATCTGCAGACTCAGGCAAAACCTAGGTTAAAGAGAAATTTTTTGCTTTAAATGTTCATGGAGAGAAGAAAGGCTTAAAATTAGGTCTTCTAAGTTTCCACCTTAAACTGGATAAAAAGAAACAATTAAACCCAATCTGAGAATAAAGAGAAGAAATATTTAAAATGCAGGCTTTAAACAATAGAATAAAAACAAGATGTAGACAAAATTAAGAGCCAAAAGTTGCTTCTTTGCAAATACTAAAATAGGTAAATCTGTACCTAGATCGGACATGACTGAAGCGACTTAGCAGCAGCAGCAGACCTAGATCAAGGGATTAAACGGAAAAAGAAGTGGTAGAAGAGAGAAAGCTTAAAAATTACAAAGAGCAGGGATGAACGAGAGGATATCACTGCAGATCCTACGTACATGGTCACTTGATCCACAGATAAAGAAATTAACCTTTTTGTCTCTAGATTTTTCCACCTTAGATGAAATGAACAAATTCTTTGAAAACATAACTTTCAAAGATTGTCACAGGTGAAACAAAGTGTAAATAACTCTATGTATCAAAGAGAATTATTTTTAAAAATCTCCACACAAAAGCATAGTCTTTTCAGCACAGTGCTGGAACAATTGACATTAATATGCCAAAAACCAAACTTTGACCCTTACCTGTTTCAAAATGTAAGACCTAAGCATAATAGCTAAATCTATAAAACATGGGGGAAAATATTTGTGACCTTGGATTAAGAAAATATTTCTTAGATAAGGAAATGTACAAAAAAGGAACCCAAAGCAAAACTCAAAATTGATAAATTAAACTTCATGAAAGTATAATGTTAGGAAAATGAAAAGACACGCCATTAACTAGGAGAAAATATTTGCAAAGCTCATGCCTTGTAAAGGGCTTGTACCCAGAAGATCCAGTCTCACTACTTTCTTTCAGCATTATCCTAGATATCCTATTCAGTGCAACAACACAAAAACATAAAAGGCATAAACATTCGAAAGTGAGGAGTAAAATTCTCCCTATCAGAAGACACATGACTGGTCACGTAGAGAGTTGTAAAGACTCAACAAAAAACTTCTGGAACTAGTAAGTGATACTACCAAGATCTTGGAATACAAGATCAATTTTTTAAATCTTTTCAATCTCATCTATATGTTAGGAAATAGTAGGAAAATGAAATTTATAAGAAAACAGTTACATTTTACAGTAGTGTCAAAAAAACATATTTAGGAATAAATTTTTAAGAACTTGTGCAAGATCTCTATAATGAAAACTATGAAACATGAGAGATGTTAAAGTCTTAAATAAATGGAGAAATCATAGTAGATTGACAGGCTCAATACTGTTAAGCTGTTAGTTGATATGTAAATTCTTTCATTCCTAGTTAAAATCCTAGCAAGTTTTTTTTTTGTAGTAATTGGCAAGGTGATTCTAATCTGAATATTGAAATGCAGTAGCCAAAATACATATGCAAATGCATAATGGAAACAATCTTTCTTAAGAAAAAAAAGCTGGAAGATTTACATTGCCTCATTTCAAGACAGTATAAAGCTACAGTAAGTTTCGTATGATTTTAGCATAAAAAGATAGTTCAGTAGGTTAAAATATAGAAAGTTGAGAAATAGTCAATAGATTTTCAGCCAAAGCATTAAGTGAATTCATTGAGGAAAAAATCTTTTCAACAAATGATGTAACAACAATTGGATATTCAAGTGGGAAAAAAGAATAATAAACTTCAACTCCTGCCTTACACTGTACACCAAAAAAATTTTTAGGATGGATCATAGGCCTAAACATAAAAGCTAAAACTATGAAACTTTTAGAAGAAAACTTAGGAAGATATCTTCACAACCTGGAGATAGCTAAATATTTTTTTAGGACACAGATAGCATAAATAAAAGGAAAAATTGATAAACTGGACTTCCTCAAAGTTAAAAACTTCTCATCAGACTACACAACTAAGTAAATGAACAAATAAGCCAGAAACTGGGAGAAGATATTCACAAGATCTGTCTTACAGAGAACTTGTATTCAAAGTATATGATGATACATTAAAAGCTCCTACATATTTATGAAATATGTGAAAAATAGGAAAAATAGTGAAAATATAGGAAAGATGTGAACAGATATTTCACAAAGGAGAATATACCATGTGCCAATAGGCACATGAAAAAGCATATATCATTAGTCATAAGAGATACAAAGTTAGCCTGGTCAAGTCAACACAAAAAATTAACTGTCACAGCACTAAATAATGACATTTAAAGAGAAACACCAATGACAGAAACTGAAATTTAAATTATACCATTTGCAGTCACCACCCCCAAAGAAGTACCTAGGTGGACACCTAACAAAATCCATATAAAATCCATGTGCTGAAAAGAACAGAACATTGATGAAGGACTTTAGAGATACAGTATGAAGCTTGCCCAGTGAAAAGAAGAGGGTTTTAAAGTCAATTCGTGACTTGTATGATTTGGGGAAGTCTACAGAATGATTTTTGAGTTTTTGTCACCATCTTTAAAAAGGATGCAATCTCTTCCTCACAGGTTTTTATAAACATTAGACAAACTTGCTTTTTGTTTAACATAAGGCAAGTTAGTGGATGTGACAAAAGTTTTATAAAATATCAATGCTATACAAATATTAGTTATATTTGCACAAAGTAAGATAGGTCCTGAAAATGTAGAAAATCTTTTGATCATTGTTTCCAGCAAAATAACTGGCCAAAACTGTCATTTACTATAAGCATTTTGAACAGTAGCTTAACTATAGTAAATATGGTTGTAATCATATGTATCTGTTCTTTTATTTCTAGTAAATAGCTTCAATTGAGTGGTCATAAATTGTGTCATTTAGATAGCTATCATAATATCTTATATATTTAATGTCTTATTTAACACCAATAATAATTTCCAAACAAATGAGTATAGTAACGTGTTATTGATAGATTTTATATTCTCTTTTTTTCATTTCAGGTCAATGAATACATTTTTGATAATTTATCTAATAATCCTTATTTCTGAAGCCATCATCAGTACTATCTTGAAATATACATGGCAAGCTGAAGAGAAATGGGATGAACCTTGGTATAACCAAAAAACAGAACATCAAAGAAATAGTAGTAAGGTATTTTATGGTGCTTTTGACTCTGTTATAAAGAAAATTTTATTCCTTGGAAATTTTATATCTTTTAATGTTTTGTAGTGTCTTCTGATAGGAGTTACCACTGTCATCCCCTAAAAGTATATTGTTGAAGGATATCAAAAGGATATTGCATGTGAAGAGTAGCCAACATGTTTGTACTGGTATGCTTTTTACATTTTAGGACATAAGCAATTATATTCCCTATGACATAACTAGAATGGTTAAAGAAGATCACAAAAATTTAGATTATCTGTATTGGCATTCCATTTCAGTACTAGATATTGACATTTTTATTCCATTTACTGTATATTATAGATTAACTAAAGAGTAAATTAATTAATTTTCATTTCTATCAGAGTAATTCACTGGGCTTCCCTGGTGGCTCAGCAGTTAAGAATCTCCACCTGTGATGCAGGATACTCGGGTTCAATCCTTGGGTCAGGAAGATTCCCTGAAGCAGAAAATGGCAGCCCATTCTTGTCTAGAAAATTACATGGACAGAAGAGCTTGGCAGGCTACATTCCATGGTGTTGCAAAGAGTCAGACCTGCCTGAGCAGCTGGGCTCAGGCTTGTGGACAGGCACAAAAAGTAACAAATTAAGTAATTTGGTTTTAACCTTTTTTTTCTTTCTCTTTGTTTAAGATTCTAAAGAGCAGTAAGTGTGTTGAAAGGACAATTGGATAAATGAATTTCAACTCATGAGGCTGTTCTGTTTCAGAATATAGTTGATAGTCTATTTAAATGTGAAATTGATTATTTTCTTCAGTGATAAAGAAATTCTCATATTTTTTCTTACCAATCATTTTTTTCCCACAGATTCTGAAATTCATTTCAGACTTCCTTGCTTTTTTGGTCCTTTACAATTTCATCATTCCAATTTCATTATACGTGACAGTGGAACTGCAAAAATTTCTTGGATCATTTTTTATTGGCTGGGATCTTGATCTCTATCATGAAGAATCAGATGAGAAAGCTCAAGTCAATACTTCTGATCTGAATGAAGAACTTGGACAGGTAAAAATGATCCTTTTGTTTTTTTAATTTGTTATTTTTATCAAAACAATAAATGTACAAAGACTAATAAAACTAAGTATTACAAAACTTATGCTAAAAAACAGCCCCACTTTCTTTGCTCCACAACTTATTTCTTGTTTCCCATTTTGAAATCTTAAGCTGTTCTTCATTATTTAGCACTGTATTTTTATATGGTATTCTTTCTGGATTTTTAAAATTGAGACATTATTTACTATGAAATATAAAGATAAAACCCTTACACTATTCCTTCTACACACATACCCAGACATATACCCACTTTGCCTCTCCATAGCTCCCCAATATTGTTAAATCACAATTTGGGATTTAATAAATATTCACTTATTGACATTATTAGAACTGTTTTGTTATTATTTATTAACTCCTAGTTCTCTCTGTGTGCTGTGTAGTACTATATTTACATTTTTCTTATGTATTTTGGTTTTGTTACACTTAATTGTTCTGTTTTTCCATTCACTTAATTTTCATTTACCACAAACAAATCTGACCAGTGTATGAACCATCTCTCCACATATTCAAACACAGCAGGTAATCTAGGATTTCCTTTCTCTTTTTTATTCTGTTGCTCGCTTTCTCTTTTGAAACCTTTCATTTTTCTGCTTCAATTTGGACTTCTTTCTGGGCCAGCTTCTCAGCTGTCACCCTGTTTACAATCTTCTCTTTGTGCAATGAATCTGAAATTTTATGATGATACACCTTGGTGTCTTTTTTTACTCCCTTTGGGCAAAGAACTCTGAGTCCTCTTAATCTAGAAACATGTCCTTCACTTCTAGGAATTTTCCTTATTTCTTTAGTAACAAGTTTTTTCCATTTTGTGGAATTTTATTTCTGAAATTTTTTAATTTGGGTGTCAGACCATTTATCCTGATTTCCTAATTCTCTTTGACTTTGAATTTTCGTTTCTGTGTTTTTATAATATGCTTTCTGGAAGAAGTCATGCACTTTTATCTTTCCACCTTATCTTTTGGTTTATTTCTATTATAATATTTTAAGTTTCTAATATTATAGTATATCAGAACAGTGTGTTTGTTTGGCCATGCCCTGTGGTTTGCAGTATCTTAGTTCATCAGTTCTACTGTAATGTGACATATCCATTCTAAAAATCACTGTGCTGTGCAAAATTACTTAGTAAAAACCACAGGGTTTATGGGAAAATGGGATTGGGTATAACAAAAACTTTGTAAGTAATACATTTAAAATGAAAAGGGGTATAACAAAAACTTTGTCACTAATACATTTAAAATGAAAATGTCATTATTAAGATAATGACAACAGTACTTGCTAAATTATTAAGAAATACAATAAACATGGTGAATACAATAAATAAGTAGTACAATAAATATGGCACTTTATCTTGAAAAAGACCTAAAGTATACTTTTAGAAGTGGCCATCAGAAGTATTGCAGCTGGTTTTTGTTTGTTTTTTGAATTTATTTATTTGGCTGATGGGTCTTGGTTTCAGCATGTGGGGGCATGCAAGATAAGATCTTTCAGTTGCAGCATGTGAAATATAGTTCCCTGACCAGGGAACTATTTGTGTTGTTTGTTCAACAAAAACTATCAGTCACCTCTATAGATAAACGTGACCCTAAAGATGCCACAGACTTAGAAAAGTATATAGATTTTAAATGTTTTGTGTTATCCTGTCTCTGTGGCATCATTAATTATTTGTAGTCTCAACATCAGTATATCAGTGTTAATTGGTAAACAACATCAGGAGACAGAGGGCAGCTTGTTGTTGTTTTTTTGTTGTTGTGTTTTTTTTGTCTAATATAAAACCCTGAACAGAAAAGTTTGTTTTCTTTTCTATCTCTAGGTGGAGTATGTGTTTACAGATAAAACTGGTACACTGACAGAAAATGAGATGCAGTTTCGGGAATGTTCAATTAATGGTACAAAATACCAAGAAATCAATGGTAGACTTGTATCCGAAGGACCAACACCAGACTCTTCAGAAGGAAATTTATCTTATCTTACTAGTTTATCCCATCTTAACAATTTATCCCATCTTGCAACCAGTTCCTCCTTTAGAACCAGTCCTGAAAATGGAACTGAACTAGTAAGCAATTTTTAAATTAATAAATAGGAATTTCATTTGAAACAGTACTTCTTTATAGTTGGTGGGTTGTAGAAGAAAATGTTTTAAGTATTAGTGGGGCAAGAAATATACATTTGAAATGTTTATACTTTGGTTCAGCACTGAGAATTTATAGTCATAAGCCAGCTTAAATTGTCACTTACTATGTATCTACTTTAGTTCTCTAGGTGTTTAATGAGACTAGGTTAAGGAAAGCACTTTCTGCCTTGAAGTAAATGAGACTTTGTTAAGGAACAGAGCTGAAATTTATTTAATACCTTTTCCATCTCAATTCTGCCACAAAATAGTTTTCACCCTTACTTGCAATTTGGTTATGTCTGCTAAAAAGATAGTCAGATGTTGAAGGGTCATAAGCAAACATGACGTCTTAACTCCTTGGAGTCAGAAGCAGCCAGCTAGCTATTACTTATGCAGTTCAAGATTATAGCAGTCTTGTTCTACATCTTATTTTATCAAATTACAAACTGTATTTATTGGCATTTTTTAGAATTTTGTTTCTGGTTTCCTACATGTTATTTGGTATTGATACTTTTATTGTGAATATTAATTATATTTCTACAGATTAAAGAACATGATCTCTTCTTTAAAGCAGTCAGTCTCTGTCACACTGTGCAGATTAGCAGTGTTCAGACTGATAGCATTGGTGATGGTCCCTGGCAGTCCAACTTCGCACCTGCCCAGTTGGAGTACTATGCATCTTCACCAGATGAAAAGGCTCTTGTGGAAGCTGCTGCAAGGTAGTTTAAGTATAATTTTCAAATCTTCAGAAAAATACCTTTTAAATAAAAGTGTGAAAATACAAGAAAATACTTTTAAATTCTCAGACAAAAATCAAAAGCACATAAAGATATTTTAAATAAGAATGTGAAATGTCATTAATTTTGTTGTCAAGCTTGCATTAAGTCGTGTTTTGAAGAGAGCTCTTTAAAAGTCTATTGCATTCTGCATGTGTGCTCAGTCCTGTCTGACTTTGTGACCCTACAGACTGTAGCCTGCCAGATTCCTCTGTCTGTGGGATTGCCCAGGAAAGAATACTGGAGTAATTTGCCATTTCCTCCTCCAAGGGATCTTCCCAACCCAGGGACTGAACCTGCATCTCCTGCATTGGCAGGCAGATTCTTTACTTGCTGAGCCATTGCAGAATACCCATACCCAAAGTTAACAACAAGCCAAAGTAACTTTGTTGCATAAATTAACACATTTATTATAGGCTAGCAATGTTATCAAATGATGACACTTCTATTGGTCCTTCAATTCTTTCAGTCTTCTGATGGCAAATTTTACTGTCACAGCAGAAGTAGTGTTGTAGTAGGTCCAGGCACCACTAGCTACTGTCTGATTGCTATGAAATATGTTGTGAAAAATACTTGTGTGTGTATTGTTTTGTACCTACTCTCATCCTTTAAGTTCTTAAAAATAACGCTATATATACTCAAAGGAAATACTTTAAAATACATCTTAAACTTATATTTTAAATGTTTACTCAAGTTATATTGTAAAATATGAAATGTTGTTGTTGTTCAGTCACCCATTCATGTCCAACTCTTGGCAACCCCATGGACTGCAGCATGCCAGGCCTCCCTGTACCTCACCATCTCCTGGAGTTTGCCCAAGTTCATAGTGCCCAAGTCCACTGACTCGGTGATGCCGTCCAACCATCTCATACTCTGTTGCCCTCTTCTTCAGCCTTCAGTCTTTCCCAGAATCAGGGCCTTTTCCAGTGAGTAGCTATTTGCATCAGGCGGCCAAAGTATTGCAGCTTCATCTTCAGCATTAGTCCTTTGAATGAGTATTTAGGGTTGATTTCCTTTAGGACTGACTGATTTGATCTCCTTGCTATCCAAGGGACTCTTCAAGGGTCTTCTCTAACACCAGTTTGAAAGCATCAGTTCTTTGGCACTGTGCCTTCTTTATGGTCCACCTCTCATTCTTTATATCTCACATTTCTTTCTTCTTTTATTTCCTAGATTTGGCATCGTGTTTATTGGTAATTCTGGAGAAATTATGGAAGTTAAAACTCTTGGAAAACTGGAACGGTAATTTTTTTCTATATGTAATTTCCTATGTATTAAATACTATAGAACAGGTATTGGTAAAATGACCCAGAAGCCAGATCTGGCCTACAGCTTGTTTTTGTGTAGCCTGCAGACTAAATTACATTTTTAAAGCGTTTTCAGAAACAAAAATGCAACAGAGATCATATATGATGTTCAAAGCCTAAAGGATTTACCATCTGGCACCTTTAAAGTTTACCAAGGCCTGCTTTAGAAAGATGTCAGTATTACATTGTATCTCATCTCAATAATAATATAATCTGAATCTTTCATCTATACTTTAGCTTAATGGTTCTTGAATTTACTTATGTGTTTATTTTTACATGTAAGGGTATTGAGTTTTGTAAGTTTCTACTCACTAAAGAAAAATTTCTGTATCTTTCCTATGATTTTTATCTTTCAAACATTAAGGAACTATTGTATAATTTCCAGTACTTCTACAGTTGGATAAATTAGTCCATTCTTATTATATTCATATATCTTTTGTGATTTTTATCAGTTCTGATCACATCTCAGCTCCAGCCCTGCTCATCCAAACTATGCTTTTCTGAACTAAATAGTGCCCAGTCTTTGACTACTTTTATCTGGGACCCTGTCTAGCTCATATTATCAACTTCCACACTTGACCCATCACACACCAAATTCTTCTACAGCTCCCTAGAGAAATATCCCCACCCCACCCCCAGCCCCCCGCCACCCAACCCTGGCCAGCTGTACACATGTGCCCTGTCCTGGGTTTAGAATCACTGCTATAATGAGCCTCTGTTACTAATGTGACGGCTTATATTTCTCAGATGTGTTTGGGCAGAAAAAAGGGTTTAGAATCAGTCACCCTTTTTAGTGAGGAAACATGAAGTTGGGCAGATCTGGATTCCAATCCTTTCTCTGCCACTCATATGCTTATTTGGCTTAGGCAAATGAATATGCCTTTCTGAGTTTAATAGTCTGCATCTGTAAAGTGAGATAAGACCTATATCCTTTGGTTTTCATGGATGTTAAATGATAGAAGGTATGTAAGGTATGTGGCATTCGGTTAAGTATTAGACTGATCAAAATGGTCTTTCAGGTTTTCCCATGAGATCTTTTGGCAAAACTTCCATGAACTTTTTGTCTAACCTGATACTTAATAAATGTCTGTTCCTTCTTTTTCTATCTTGTATTATTAATTGACTCATCCATCATCTTGAAAAATATAGTTGAGATTAATTTATTGTTCTGAATTAACCATTTTATCTCTTATGGGGGTTCTTTCCAAATAGTCACTTAATATTATTCAAAAAGTAAAGATTTTGTCTGTCTTATTTTTTTTTCCTTAGATACAAGCTGCTTCATATTTTGGAATTTGATCCAGATCGTAGAAGAATGAGTGTAATTGTTCAAGCACCTTCAGGTAACAAATCTAAACTTTTATGAATTTGTACTTATTTAATATTGCATCTAATACAGTTTTTGAAATGTTCATTTTTCTTTTTAGGTGAGAAGCTTTTATTTGTTAAAGGTGCTGAATCATCAGTTCTCCCTGCATGTATAGGTGGAGAAATAGAAAAAACCAGAATTCATGTAGATGAATTTGCTTTGGTAAGTGCAAATTTCTCTTATTTTAAAAACCATTAAAAATTACTAGAGCTAATCAGCGAAAATAGTAAAGTTGCAGGATATAAAATTAACACACAGAAATCCCTTGCATTCCTATATACCAACAATGAGAAAACAGAAAGAGAAATTAAGAAAACAATAACATTCACCATTGCAACAAAAAGAATAAAATACTTAGGAGTACATCTACCTAAAGAAACAAAAGACCTATACATAGAAAACTATAAAACACTGATGAAAGAAATCAAAGAGGACACAAACAGATGGAGAAACATACCGTGTTCATGGATTGGAAGAATCAATATTGTCAAAATGGCTATACTACCCAAATCTATCTATAGATTCAGTGCAATCCCTATCAAGCTACCAATGGTATTTTTCACAGAACTAGAACAAATAATTTCACAATTTGTATGGAAATACAAAAAACCTCAAATAGCCAAAGTAATCTTGAGAAAGAAGAATGGAACTGGAGGAATCAACCTGCCTGACTTCAGACTATACTACAAAGCCACAGTCATCAAGACAGTATGGTACTGGCACAAAGACAGAAATATAGATCAGTGGAACAGAATAGAAAGACCAGAGATAAATCCACGAACCTATGGACACCTTATCTTTGACAAAGGAGGCAAGGATATACAATGGAAAAAAGACAACCTCTTTTAACAAGTGGTGCTGGGAAAACTGGTCAACCACTTGTAAAAGAATGAAGCTAGAACACTTTCTAACACCATACAGAAAAATAAACTCAAAACGGATTAAAGATCTAAATGTAAGACCAGACACTATAAAACTCCTAGAGGAGAACATAGGCAAAACACTATCCGACATAAATCACAGCAGGATCCTCTATGACCCACCACCCAGAGAGTATTGGAAATAAAAGCAAAAATAAACAAATGGGACCTAGTGAAACTTAAAAGCTTTTGCACAACAAAGGAAACTATAAGCAAGGTGAAAAGACAGCCCTCGGAATGGGAGAAAATAATAGCAAATGAAGTAACAGACAAAGGATTAATCTCAAAAATATACAAGCAACTCCTGCAGCTCTATTCCAGAAAAATAAATGACCCAATCAAAAAATGGGCCAAAGAACTAAACAGACATTTCTCCAAAGAAGACATACAGATGGCTAACAAACACATGAAAAGATGCTCAGCATCACTCATTATCAGAGAAATGCAAATCAAAACCACAATGAGGTACCATTACACGCCAGTCAGGATGGCTGCTATCCAAAAGTCTACAAGCAATAAATGCTGGAGAGGGTGTGGAGAAAAGGGAACCCTCTTACAGTGTTGGTGGGAATGCAAACTAGTACAGCCGCTATGGAGAACAGTGTGGATATTTCTTAAAAAACTGGAAATAGAACTGCCATATGACCCAGCAATCCCACTTCTGGGCATACACACCAAGGAAACCAGATCTGAAAGAGACACATGCACCCCAGTGTTCATCGCAGCACTGTTTATAATAGCCAGGACATGGAAGCAACCTAGATGCCCATCAGCAGATGAATGGATAAGGAAGCTGTGGTACATATACAGCATGGAATATTACTCAGCCATTAAAAAGAATTCATTTGAATCAATTCTAATGAGATGGATGAAACTGGAGCCCATCATACAGAGTGAAGTAAGCCAGAAAGATAAAGACCATTACAGTATACTAACACATATATATGGAATTTAGAAAGATGGTAATGATAACCCTATATGCAAAACAGAAAAAGAGACACAGATGTACAGAATAGACTTTTGGACTCTGTGGGAGCAGGCGAGGGTGGGATGTTTTGAGAGAACAGCATCGAAACATGTATATTATCTAGGGTGAAACAGATCACCAGCCCAGGTTGGATGCATGAGACAAGTGCTCGGGCCTGGTGCTGGGAAGACCCAGAGGGATCGGGTAGAGAGGGAGGTGGGAGGGGGGATCGGGATGGGGAATACATGTAAATCCATGGCTGATTCATGTCAATGTATGACAAAAACCACTACAATATTGTAATTAGCCTCCAACTAATAAAAGTAAATGAAAAAAGAAAAAAAATAAAGATTATATTTGTAAAAAAAATTAAAAAATAAAAACCATTAAAAATATATATGAAAGATATTTGCATTAGTATTTTATCAAAAATTACAGTAATTCTGTAGTTGTGTTACATTATGTGTTGGTTCCTCATTCTTTGGTTAAATACTGACCTTTTAACCTGCAAACATGTATCTTCTGTTTGAACCTATTACAGCCAGAGTACTTATGGCTTTAAGGACCCCTCAAATTGCTGTGTTATAAAAGGAGGGATTTCCCTGGTGGTCTAATGGTTAAGACTCTTGCTTCCACTACAGGGGGCACAGGTTTTTATTCCTGGTCAAGGAATTAAGATCCCACATGGCACAACCAAAAAAAGGAGGGGATTATACAAAAAAATCTCAAGAATGTGTAGAACCTGAAACCCTCATACATGCTGTGGAAATGTAATTGATACGGCCAACTTAGAAAACAGTTTTACAATTCCTCGTACAATATAGAATAATATAGAGTTACTATATGAGTCAAGTAATTGAAAATATACATCTAACAAAAACTTGGACACAAATATTTGTAGCAGCTTATTGACTATGCCAAAGCCTTTGACTGTGTGGATCACAATTAACTGTGGAAAACTCTTAAAGAGATGGGAATACCAGACCACCTGACCTGCCTGCTGAGAAATCTGTATGCAGGTCAGGAAGCAACAGTTAGAACTGGACATGGAACAACAGACTGGTTCCAAATAGGAGATGGAGTACATCAAGGCTGTATATTATCACCCTGCTTATTTAACTTATATGCAGAGTACATCATGAGAAATGCTGGGCTGGAAGAAGCACAAGCTGGAATCAAGATTGCTGGGAGAAATATCAATAACCTGAGATATGCAGACAACACCACCCTTATGGCAGAAAGTGAAGAGGAACTAAAAAGCCTCTTGATGAAAGTGAAGGAGGAGAGTGAAAAAGTTGGCTTACAGCTCAACATTCAGAAAACTAACATCATGGCATCTGGTCCCATCACTATGGGAAATAGATGGGGAAACAGTGGAAACAGTGTCAGACTTTATTTTTTGGGGCTCCAAAATCACTGCAGATGGTGATTGCAGCCATGAAATTAAAAGATGCTTACTCCTTGGAAGGAAAGTTATGACCAACCTGGATAGCATATTTAAAAGCAGAAACATTACTTTTCCAACAAAGGTCTGTCTAGTCAAGGCTATGGTTTTTCCAGTAGTCATGTATGGATGTGAGAGTTGGACTATAAAGAAAGCTGAGCACTAAAGAATTGATGCTTTTGAACTGTGGTGTTGGAGAAGACTGTTGAGAGTCCCTTGGACTGCAAGGAGATCCAACCAGTCCATCCTAAAGGAGATGAGTCCTGGGTGTTCATTGGAAGGACTGATGTTGAAGCTGAAACTCCAATACTTTGGCCACCTGATGTGAAGAGTTGACTCATTGGAAAAGACCCTAATGCTGGGAAGGATTGGGGGCAGGAGGAGAAGGGGACAACAGAGGATGCGATGGCTGGATGGCATCACCGACTCGATGGACATGGGTTTGGGTAGACTTGGGGATTTTGTGATGGACAGGGAGGCCTGGCATGCTGCAATTCATGGGGTCGCAAAGAGTCAGACACGACTGAGCGACTGAACTGAACTATTCCTAATAGCTTAAAAAATGGAAAAACGCAAATGTCTGTCAACTTTGAATGGATTAAACAGTGTCCTATCTGTATAATGGAATATTAATTGGCCCTTAAAAGGAATGGTGTTCCTTGTTAAGTGAAAGAAGCTAGTCACAAAAGGCCACATATTCTGTTTATATAAAATATCCAGAAGAAGCCAATTCATAGAGCCAGAAATCAGATTAGTGGTTGCCAGGAGCTGGAGGAAGGGGTGAAAGGGAAGTGTCTGCTAATGAGTATAGAATTCCTTTTGAAGGTGATGAAAATGTTCTGGAATCAGATAGTCATAATGATTTCATGACTTCATGAGTACACTAAGGACCACCTAATTGTACTCTTTAAAGTGAATTATGGTATGTCACCTATGTCCCTCTTAATAAAAGAATGTAAGAGTATCTTACAATATACAGTGCCACAATTCATGTGAAGAGGAAACTTATTAAGCAGTTCTGTCTCAGTCTAAGAGCCTCATGATCTCTCATTTCTGCATTTCTGTAAATGTTTGCTGCATACTTATCTCTATCAATCTGCCTCCTTACAGTTTCTTTTCTCCCTTTACTTATTTTCTAATTGTTTATGGTCTAGTTCATCTACCACACTGTAACATCTGTAAGAACAAAGATATTCTACTTTTCTGTCATTTTAATATCTAGAACAATGCTTTCACTAAGCTGGGACTCAATAAATACTTGTGGAATGAATTAATTTCATTTATTTATAACTCTCATAGTCTCTTGGCTTATTTAAGAATAAGAGGTGTTTATAAAGGTAGGTCATATGTAAATCAAAGAAAGCCAATATTTAGAAATCTACTAAGTAGTGTCATATAGTATTTTAAAGCCTTTCCTTTCTGAGTCCTTTTATTAGAATCTTTATTTTGGGTTTTTGTGAGGAAAATGTAAGAAAAAGAACTTTTATAAGTTTTCAGAGTTAGATACCAACTTTAAAATATTAACACCATAAGAAAAATTGACCCTTGGTACAATCAGATAATCAAACATGTATTCCTAAGTTTTGTGTAATTCCAAATCACCAGTGAAGATATAATGATACAATTAAAAATCATTCATTTGATGGCTCTAGAAAAGTATTGGTTGGTTGATAATGACCACCTTACAGTTTTCTTTATTTGAATTGTGAATTTGTCATACCATGAAGCCTCAGGAAATTACAGTCCCCTTTGCTTAAAAAAATTTTTTTAAGTAGATAAAAGTGAATTTATAGTGGTTAAAACAAGAGAATAGAATATAGTGCTGCCTCTTTTGATTGGCCTGAAGGTACCTTTGTAGAACTTTTTACTTTCCTGGTAGAAACAGTTTTAAAATTATAGATAGATCATGTTTATAATCTTGTCTAGGGTCTGTAGTGTTCTACAATACAGTGACCTTAATTATTATGAGCAACTTATTAAGAACCCATCAGAAATTGAAAGAGCTATGATAATATGTATCCCACAATTCAGGTGACTGGTTTTGTAACAGTTTCCTATCACTAGATGGTGATAATTTTTAAATTATTGATAGTTGATTTTTGGTAATGGTATCCTCAGTTTATTTCAATGACTTTGATTCCCCATTAGTTATTTTTGTTCAATTTTGTCTTTAATTTTTCTCTTTTAGAAAGGGCTAAGAACTCTGTGTATGGCCTATAGGCAGTTTACATCTAAAGAGTATGAGGAAATAAATAGACGTTTATTTGAAGCCAGGACCGCCTTGCAGCAACGGGAAGAGAAATTGGCAGGTGTCTTCCAGTTCATAGAGAAAGACCTGATATTACTGGGAGCTACAGCAGTAGAAGACAAGTAAGTATCAGATAAATAGCCAATGTCATTTTTCTCATAAGAATTTTTTTAACCAAGTATTTCTAATATATGACAAACTCCATTTTTAACATTTTATAATGACTTAATATATTTAAAATAAAAAGTTAAAGCCTTTTCCCAGTCCATACATATAATTTTTTTCCTAGTCAGCTATCTGAAATAGTTGATAGAATCCAGCCATGTATAGTTCTGAGTTTTTAGACAACTACTCGGTGTAGTTGTCTAAAGCAAGATTTTAAGCGCTTGCTTAATTCTCCAGCCTCACCTCCTACCATTGTCACCTTCTGCTTTACATTTCAGCAGTACCAAAACTGTAGTTTTCTGAACATCGGTGAAGACTGTTTTAACTAAAACTGTTCTGTTTTTGCCTTTTTTCCTCTGCAAAGCTGTGCCTTCTGCCCGGATCATTTTTCTCTTATCCATCTATGAATACCCATTCATAAATTATAGTTCATATATTACCCGCACTCTCTAGAAAGACCTTTCCTGACTCCTAATAGTATTAAAAATTCTCTTCTTTGGGAAGCCTTCATGTTTTGTAGATAGTTTCTGCTATTGTCTTTGTGACAGTATATTATAGTTACTTGTTTGAAGACTTTCCACTCGGTTAGCCTATGAATTCCATGCCATCTATTTACTCATTGCCTTGTTCCCTAGCCTCTCTCTCCATGTATGTTTCAGTTTTTTGAATTATTGAATTCTACAAATTAAGTCTATTGTTAATGTTTTTTTCTACCACCTAGATCTAAGGGTGTTTGCATTTTTTTAAGATCTAGTGTTCATTTACTTTTCAGTGGTCCTTGTGAGATTTCTGAGACTCTCTGAAGTTATGTAGACCTTTATTGTCTGCAGTCTGATTTTTGAACTACTGATTTAAGAGATTTTCTTACCAAAAAAGAAAATCTTCTAATTTGAAATTAAGACTTTCAAGAAATAAGTTTGTCTACCTAAAGAAACAAAAGACCTATACATAAAAAACTATAAAACACTGGTGAAAGCAACGAATATAGTAAAGTTGCAGGATATAAAATTAGCACACAGAAACCCCTTGCATTCCTATACACTAACAATGAGAAAACAAATTAAGGAAACAATACCATTCACCATTGCAACAAGAAATAAGTTTGTGAAGACTATATAGTTCAGTTCAGTTCAGTCGCTCGGTCATGTCCAACTCTTTGCGACCCCATGAACCACAGCATACCAGGCCTCCCTGTCCATCCTTAACTCCCAGAGTCCACCCAAACCCATGTCCATTGAGTTGGTGATGCCATCCAACCATCTCATCCTCTGTTGTCCACTTCTCCTCCTGCCCCCAATCCTTCCCAGCATCAGGGTGTGTTCCAGTGAGTCAGCTCTTTGCCTCAGGTGGCCAAAGTATTGGGAGTTTCAGCTTCAACATCAGTCCTTCCAATGAACACCCAGGACTCATCTCCTTTAGGATGGACTGGTTGGATCTCCTTGCAGTCCAAGGGACTCTCAAGAGTCTTCTCCAATACTACAGTTCAAAAGCATCAATTCTGTGTTCAATTTTCTTTATAGTCCAACTCTCACATCCATACATGACCACTGGAAAAACCATAGCCTTGACTAGATGGACCTTTGTTGGCAAAGTAATGTCTCTGCTTTTTAATATGCTGTCTAGGTTGGTCATAACTTTCCTTCCAAGGAGTAAGCGTCTTTTTATTTCATGGCTGCAGTCACCATCTGCAGTGATTTTTGGAGCCCAGAAAAATAAAGTCAGCCACTGTTTTCACTGTTTCCCTGTCTATTTGCCATGAAGTGATGGTATAGTTAGTTGGTTCTATAAAAATCAACTTCAAAGTACAGTGTTAAAATACAAAGTTGTAGATTTTATATTTAAGTGTACATAGTGCTCCAACATATTATACCCTGTGAGCTTCAAAAAACCAAATATGTTTACAGTGTTACTATCTGTCACCAAAATGAAGAGGAAGGAACTTAACTATTGTTAGAATTCATACATGTTCTCATCAAGGCAGTATTGACCCAGGTGATTAGTATCTGTTACCTCAAATGCCCCACAACTCTGGTATGCCCGTTGTTACAAATGTGTAAGCACACAGTTGTAGATTTTGTATTAGCCAGGTGATCACTGACTTGGGTTATTCTTGTTTTTTCCCTAATGGGAAAAAAAGTCAGTTATATTACTATACTGTAGCATTCCTAGGTTAAGGAGTTCAGAATTACCCTACTTGTACTATGTGGTTTACACTTAAAATTCAGTCAAAAAAGTATTCTCTACTACTAATTTGTTTCTTTTGTTTTCAGACTGCAAGATAAAGTTCGAGAAACTATTGAAGCTTTGAGAATGGCTGGTATCAAAGTATGGGTACTTACTGGAGATAAACATGAAACAGCTGTTAGTGTGAGTTTGTCATGTGGACATTTTCACAGAACCATGAACATCCTTGAACTTTTAAACCAGAAATCAGACAGTGAATGTGCTGAAAAATTGGGGCAGCTTGCCAGAAGGTAAGAATATAGTTACCTGCATCATGGAGTTCAGGGTTCAGGAAGCTATTGCCCAATGAACCCAAATATGCCCCACTGCCCTTTTTTACAGCCCATGTGCTCAAAATAACTTTTCCATTTTTTAATGATGAAAAAGAAGTCAAAGAAGAGTAATATTTCATGGTGTGAAAATTACATGAAATTAATAATTTAATGTACATAAATTTTATTGGAACAGAGCCACATTGGTTCATTTACATATCAGCAAAGGCTTTTGTGCTATAACAGCACAGTTGAGTAATTGGGCCAGAGTACTTTTATCATTTCTCATTGCTGCTTGATACACTGCAAATCACAGTGACACAGTTATAGCTCTGTAATGTTTTCTCTGCCACACTGCTGTATGGCATTTTGGTATATTTTTATTGTCAGTATTTAACTATCATGTCCAACATAAAAAGAAAAATGGACTTTTAATATCACACTCTTAAAGCACAGTGGAGTGTTGATTATTATCAAATTAGATGGCAACGCATTGTGTTTATTATTCAGTGACAGTATGCTTTAATATACTGCCTATTTCAGATATAATCAAATATGAAATACAAAATCTCATTACCTATGGTTCTTTTGTAATGTAAAATCTCATTACAGATCAGCATTAACAGGTGGACATGTGCCAGCTGACTTTGATAGAGGACATGAACTTTGAACCCCAATTAAAATGTTCTTTCCCTGCCAAGAATAAGATTTCTATTCTATTATTTTTAAAATTGTATTTAATTATTATTATTACATTTTCTTACTTAAAAATTTTTGTCAAAATTTGTTTCTTCTTTTGTAATATAAGAACCTATATAATACCTTCAATTTAGTCTCATGGCCTGCAAAGCTTAAAATTGAAATATTTACTTCTGGTGCTGTATAGAAAACATTTACCAACCAGTGATATAGTTCACATGACCATACTGGGAAATGCACCTGCATTTTACTGTTCAAAGATACTTTCATAAGTATATATGCTCTTAATCTGTTTTTCTCTAAACCTGCTTCTTTAGGTAGATCAACTTTATTTAGGAGCCCCCTTTTAACAGTTTGTTTAAGTTTTATTTCTTTATGGCCATGCTGGGTGCCTTCATTGCTGAGCAGGCTTTTCTCTAGCAATGAGCAGGCTTCTCATTGTGGTGGCTTCTTCGGAGCATGGGCTCAAGGGCGTTAAGAGCTTCAGTAGTTGTGACTCCTGGACTTTAGAGCACAGGCTCAGTAGTTGTACACAGGCTTAGTTGCCCTGCAGCCTGTGGAATCTTCCCAGATCATTGATCGAACCCCCTATATCTCCTCCGTTGGCAGGCAGATTCTTCACCACTGAGCCACCAGGGGAGCCCCAGGTTTTTTTTTCTTTTTTACCTTAAATAGGAGTGCTTCATTGTAAGCTTGTGGGTTGCTTGTATGTAGGTATCTGAGATGTCCTACTGATACCTCTCTTTGCAGTCTTGTGATATTAATGCAGAAAAACAAATACGAAGACAGTGCCACAATTGTCACTGTACATTAGTGCTTTATTTATGTTTGTTATGCAGGGATTGATGTGATACTAAATTTTGGATTTTATCAGAGAAAAGCTTATTTAAGGAATGTTTTAAAGAGACAGTACAACTTTCAGAAAGATCTTTGCTTGAGCTCAAAAAGGTGATTGATCTAGGTTAATGACACGGGTTTTGAAGCAATGCCAACACTATTGTGGCTACTTAAGCATTTAAGGGCATAATGTCCAGAACTCCCTAAAATATACAAACTAATTGTTCAGAATCATTTACTTCTTAAATATTACTTCTGATTACAAAAGTAATAAATACTCATTTTAAAAGCACTGAAAATAAGATATGATGATTAGTAATATAATACAGCCATCTGAAGATAATTGTATTTTCAAATATTTTTAAGTCTTCTATATATGTGCTTTTGGTGAGTCTGTTAAGATCATGGGTATTGTTCATTTCCCTTTTTGTACAAAAGCTGTATTATAAAGTGAATATTATACTTTGAAATTAAATTTAGGCTTGCTATGTGAAATGTATGTTTCAGAGATACCATCTTCTTAGTGGAATATATTTTCTTCCTTTTTTTTTTCTCTTTTGCTGAGCCTCAAAGCTTGTGGGATATTAGTTCCCCAATCAGAGATTGAACCCAGATCTCTGCAGTGAGAGCACAGAGTCCTAATCACTGGACCACCAGGGAATTCCTGAAATATGTTTTCTGAGTTAACCATATAAGTCAATAGGATTTTGATTTATAGACTTTCAGGAAGTATCTATTCTAAAAATCTTGGATATAGCAAAAAAATTCCATATCTTTGAAAGTTTTAGTGTATGCATCTAATCCTTCAAAACCACATTGATAATCTCCTATGTAGGCATTTGGGACAGCCATATAAGGTGTGTTTATTCCCAGAATACTTAGAGTGTGTCAGAAAAAAGAAGTAAATACACTGTCACAACCGTCACGACTGAATTGTAACTGAGGCAAGAACAGAGAGCTGTCTGTGGACTGAAGTGGGAAACTTAGCCCAAGTTTATCCTAGAAACAGCTCTGTACATTAGAATGCTGTACATTGGAACTGATGACTGTGTTGTCTCCTGTTTTTAGATGTAAACTTGTCAGAAAATAACACCAAGAATCAAAGTGGCCCATGTATGCAAATTCCCAGAGCAGAGAGGCTCATTCAGGCAATTGGTAGTAGCTACGTATGGCCAGGGAATGGAGTAGATGGGAGAGGATGTGGGAAATACTGAAACATGAGGCTACAGAAGTAAGCAGATGCTACCTTACTATGTGCCAGAACTATGAGGTGCTTTTCCATACTGCATAGATGTTACACCATGGATTGTGTGTGCTGATTTATGAAGCCTGTCCCGAGAAGAACCTCACTTAGTGTGCCTTGGGAATGTTCCCAAGGAAAGCTTACCTAACCTGTCCTGCTCTTGGCTGCTGCTGCTTCTGAGACCATGCACTCAGGCAGTGCTTAACACAGAATGCCTATAGGCAGCAGGGGCTGCTAAGGAAGTTCGGCCCACAGAGAGGAAACATAGTTTAGATGCTGATTTCAGGTATTGGAGAATTGATAAAGGAAGTATACATTTTTTTAAGTTTATATTGTAAATGTTAATTGCTTTCCACTTATTATACAGTGCAACACACTAGGCATACAATGAAGACATCATTTTAACTTACAGAAGAGATATAAGTATTAGGAGACTGAAAATCATCAATATGTTTAGTTTTCATAACTTACTGCTCATTTAATAGTCTTCTCACTTATCATTTAAAAATTGAGGGAATAGCCACTATGGAAAATGGTATAGAAAAAATTTTAGACAGAACTACCATGTAATCCAGCAATTCCATGCCTGGATATTTATACAAAGAAAATGAAGTCACTGTCTCAGAGAGATCCACTCTTTTGTTCACTGCAGCATTATTTACCATAGCCAAGAATGGTGGCAGCAACCTAAATATCCATTAATGTGTGTATGGACAGTGAAAATGTGATGTTCCTTCCACACATGAAGGAATATTATTCACCCATAAAAAAGAAGGAAATCTTGCTTTTTGTGATAACATGGATGGATCTTGACAACATTATGCTCAGTAAAATAAGTCAGACAGAGAGAAACAAATACTTAAATGTGAAATCTAAAAAAACCAATGATAAAATGGTGATTATTGCCAGGAGCTGGTCTGTGGGGGAGGTGGGGAGGTGATAGTCTAGGGTACAAACTTCTAGCTTATATATAAGATGAATAAGTTCTGGGGATCTAATCTACAGTATGGTGGCTATAATTAACAGTACTATGTTATATATTTAAAAATTGTAAAGAGAGTAGCTCTCAAGTCTTACCACCATGACAAAAAAAGTTTTTACATGAAAGGATGGAGGTGTTAATTAATTAACCTTATTGTAGTAATCATTTTTGCAGTATATATATGTATCATATCATGTTGTGTACCTTTAACTTACATATATGTCAATAATATCTCAATAAAGCTAAGAAAAAAATAAAATGAAAATGTATGGGTGTTTCTCAGTAGCAGTCCTGCTATACTGTGAACCCAGTGGTGAACTGTATGTAGTATTTTCCTTGTGCTGACCTGAACACAATGCTTCTCTAAGTGCAGGCCTTCAACTGCATAAGAAGCTTGCTCCAGAATGTAAATCTATACACTGCTTCTTTCACTGAGAAATTCTTATTACTGAAGCGGGGAGTGGGGTGAAGCAACTGAACAAAATAGCGTGCTCAATAATATACTTTATTTACATACTGACACAATAACATACTTATTATGATAACATACTTGTTTTCTCTTTCTTGTCACAAATAGTTCTCTCAACTGCCAATTATTAGACCATGTTTTGAAATAGTCCTCAGTATAGTATATGCCCACAAGGGAGGTGTTACCCATTTTCCACCACTGTAATACCTGGCATTACAGTCCATTGTAGGGTTAAATATCAAGAGACAGTTGATGGTTTCTTCATTCCTTGCCTTACTACTTAAATATACAGTGAATCTAGCTTGTAAATTTTCCTGAACATTCTTGATTTCATTTAATTTTTTAAAATCAGAACTTGCTAAAATGTATAACTAGTTATATTTTTATTTTTCTAAGATTTTTTATACAGTTTAGGAGAATATCCTCAAATTATGTGTAACAATTCACTTTTTAGAAAATACAGTTTGTGTGTGTGTGTATATATATATATATGAATTCATTGAAAAATTGAATATCATCTGTTTTACTCTTCATATCAGTTACTCCCAGTTCTACTTAATCTTAAGTTTCAAATGGTAGAACTCTATTCCCCGACATGTCAGTTTTGTAACAGTGAAGTCTATGGGTGAATGATCCGTTTTTCAGTAAGAATCTTTTGTTTACTAAATGAGTGTAAATAATACAGCTTTATACATGTCTGACAGAGGATATCATCATTTTCTATTTTTTTAGGGTTAGGGAGGATCATGTGATTCAACATGGTCTGGTGGTAGACGGGACCAGTCTGTCTCTTGCACTCAGGGAGCATGAAAAGCTATTTATGGACGTTTGTAGAAATTGTTCAGCTGTAATGTGCTGTCGTATGGCACCACTACAGAAAGCAAAGGTATGTTTATTTCATAAGTCCCATAGAGATACTTTGATTTAAAAGTATTCTTTAACATTAATGCCTCACCTAGTTCCATTTGGTGATATACAGTATATAAATCTTAACCAGGAGTCAGTCACTTCTCATAATATGAATTTTAACCGTATACATTAGCCCTTTGGAAATTTCACAGTAAATATTTAAGTTTTAATTATTCATAATAACATAGAAATAGATCATTGTAACCTAAAAGTGACCATGTGATAGATAGCAGTTTGTGATATTCCTGAGACACAAATTTGAACTATGATAACAAGTCTCACGAGTTCGTTACTTAACTTACAGGGTGAAGGACCCTATAAGACTTCAGTTCATCTGCACCTCTAGGTCATTCTGTTGATCTTTGCTTATTCTTGCATTCTCATGAATTGATAATTCTCTTTGTTAAAAATGACTGTTAAGTGCTAAATAGAACTTTAATAAAGAGTTAAAAAGCCAATTAATTGTGATATGAAGCCATAGTTAGGAAATATTTAATGTTCAGCTGTGATTCAAGTGAAAACCTATACAAATATTTTTTGTAACTGAAACCTTCACAAGTATATGCTTTGAAATATACATCTAAACATATTATTTCACATATAGAGCTAATAAACTATACATCCAGTTTTTTTGGCTTTATGGAGTTTTATTACAGTGCCTATTTTATTATGATAACCCATATACCCCAGTCTGTGGACATTAAACTGGAGACCAAACAGACCTAATGCCTAAATTCTTTAGAAAAGTACATTCAAGTATTCCAAACAAACCTTTCATTAGATTTTATTGAATTTAATTTTGATGGCTTTTTAAATTTTTAAGAAACCTTATTACAAGAGAAAATAATTATTTTTCCTATGTATCAAATGAAAATAATTTCTTGAGAAAAAAAAATTTCCTGACAAAGTTCAATTAATTGTAGTTAATTTTTTACACAGTTATTATTAAACTTTTTACAAATTTAAGCTGTGTTTAACAGATTCTTACATCCTATCATAAAATCCAAAGACCACAGTCTGTTTTGTTGTCATTTCTGAAAGACATTGCTAACGTCTTAATGGAGACATCCCTCAAACAATGAACCCCAGTGCATATTACTGTCCAATATAAAACTAATTTTTTTCATTACTGTTCTTACAACAGATCATTTCAGATAAATAATTTCATATAAATACAAGAAAATTGAAGTTTTATTATAATTAATGAATTGTATGTCTTTCAGGTAATAAGACTGATAAAAATCTCACCTGAGAAGCCAATAACATTGGCTATTGGCGATGGTGCTAACGATGTAAGCATGATACAAGAAGCACATGTTGGCATAGGTGATTGATATTTTTTCTTTGAACTTGTTAAGTTGGCATAATTATTTGATGATGAATTTTCCTTTTGTAGAATAAAGTACAATGTCACATATACGAATGAAAACTAAATGCAGTGGTATAATATATCACATTGTATTTCTGTCAGAAACCTATCATTATTAAGCCCAGTATTTAGGATTTTTAAAAAATATTTATTTGGCTGCCCTGGGTCTTAGTTACAGCATGTGGGATCTAGTTACCTGACCAGGGATTGAACCCAGGCCCTTTGTTTTGGGAATGTAGCATCTTAGTCACATGGACCAACAGGGAAGCTGCAGGATGTTTTAATTGCAAATTTTCAAGGAAATAAATACCACTAGTGAATTTTATCTCTCCAGTTCTTCCCAGTAAAGTTAGTTTAGTTTTACATGCAATTTTGTACCTTTTTAAATACTTTTACACAGTATTTTTATCATTTTTAAATTATAAGTTCATGATATATATAATTATCTTATTTTAGAATATTATTATTTACTTTATCCATTAGTCTAAAGATTTTGGAATGTATTTTAAAGATAATTTTAGAGACAGGAAGTTATACCAAACTATAAAATTTCAACTTTCTAATTTAATAACCTTTATGCTAACTTTTTTCTATTTTTGCCTAAAATTTTTATTAAATTCAGAATACTAAAATCATTTTATTTTATTTATGTTACCAGTCATTTCCCACTTAAACAATATTTTGACCTGTCTTCCTCAGTAATTTTATTGAGGAAGCAAAAGAGAGGAGTATGGGTTTTTGTTGAAGGATAAAATTTTAGAGTTAGAAGATAGTCCTTGCTCTGGAGTTGCCTGTGTGATGAGTACTGATTGGGTCCCTATTTCCAGTGTATCCCTCAAATCAACTCCTTCCTCTTTGGGATAATTAACTCTTCATTTTGAAAACCTCGCTTTCTTTATATTGTTTATACTGTTGTTTCTCAGAAATCTTCATGATAATTTGATTGTTAGAGTATAAAAAGCTACAGTACTTTTGATTTTATCAGTAATATGATAACAGCCAGACCAGTGAACAGAATCAATTCAGAACGCCTGGAAATTTAGTATGTAACAAAGGAGATGTTTCAAATAAGTAGGGAAACAAATTATTTGATTTAATAAAACACTGATATAACTAGTTATTTGGGGGGAAAAAGTGAGTCCCTTTCCATTGCTTATAGCAAAACAAATTCCAGATGGATTAGGATTTAAATAATTTTTGAAGGCTATAAAAATAATAGACTTTAGTGAATAATCCTGTTATTTGAGGTATGGAAGGATCTTTTAAATACAAAACCAAAGAAAGCAAGGAACTGAAAAGGCAAAAGATCAACATGTGTGACAGAAGTAAATACTTCCCATAAAAAAATTTTTAAGACAAACTAATAAAGAATATTTGTAAAATAGATGATAGTCTTAGTATTCCTATTATGTGAGGTCTTAAATTAAGGAGAATAAGAAAAACAGTCTAGTAGAAATCTCCCTAATAATCAACAGTAAGTTGAAATTGCCTGTCAGATTGGCAGAAATACCCTGAAATTGACAGGGGTATGGACTTCCCAGGTGGCACTGTGGTTAAAGAACTCCCCTGCCGATGCAGGAGATGCAAGAGATGGGGTTCAATCCCTGGATTAGGAAGATACCCTGGAGTAGGAAAGGGCAACTCACTCCAGTTTTCTTGCCTGGAAAATTCCATGGACAGAGGAGCCTGGTGGACTACAGTCCATGGGTTCACAAAGAGTTGGACACAACTGAGCACACACACATACAGATTAACAAATGCCCTTAAATGTTAGTAGGAATGTAAATTGGTACACCCTGCATTATTATATATATAACAATTTTAAATGTGTGCCCTGTGGGCTTCCCTGGTGGTACAGTAGATAAGAATCTGCCTGTCAGTGCACGGGATGTGGTTTCAATCCATAGTCCAGGAAGATTCCACATGCTACAGAACAACTAAGCCTGTGCACCAAAACTGCTGAGTTCTCGTGCCATGATACTAATGAAGCCCTCATGCTCTAGGGCCCAAGAGCCCACATGCTGCAACTACTGAAGCCCATGCTCCTCGAGCCTGTGCTCTGCAACGAGAGAAGCCATTATAATGAGAAGCCCGTGCACCACAGCAAACAGTAACTCCCCTTGCTGCAACTAGTGAAAGCCTTTGCATAGCAAAAATAAAATAAATGTGTGCCCTTTGACCTAGTGACTAGGCATCCAGGAATTCCTTTTAAGAAAATAAATGACTATGTTAGCAAGCACATATGTCTATATATAGTAAGTAAACAATGTCCATAATGTAGAAAATGATGAAAGCAGATTAGAAAACAATCCCATCTTTATGTACTTGTTTGTATATATGTTAAGTGAACATATATGAAATATGCATAAGGAAAACTTCTAAGAGTATATAGACCAGAAATAGTGGTTTTCTCTAGGAGCTGTGAATACAGATGATTGTCTTTACGCTTTGTAACATTTTGATCCTTTTATAACAGGAGTAGAAAATTTTAATTTTGAAAAAATAATTTTTTCAAAGCTGGTTTCACATTGAATAAACAAACTTGGCAATAACTTTTGAAACCTAATGAACAATGGTAACTTCAAAAAAAGTGCTCATATTTGTCAGATAAAATTATGTACTGATTTCAAGTAATATTGTACATTTTTCTTTTAAAAAGCACACTGAGTTTTGCATGAGAGTTTTAAAACTGTTAAACATGGTTTTCTACTTGATTCAGCATATTTTTTATGTTCCTTGGAAATAAGAGCCGTGAAAGCTGTTTTATGGCATTCTCTTGATTAGAATAAAATGTTCTTAGATCCTGAACGTTTAATATTTTATATCAATTTTATTTTATTCTAGTTCTTTGAAGATTGATGTTACATGCCTAGTATATGTTATAGCTTTGTATTAATTACATATTTGATATAAGTAGAACAACCTTTTCGGAATCTATTGTCTACTATAATTTAGAATATAATTATCCTAAATCCACGTTCAGCTGCTACAGATAATTAAGGTATTTGCAGACATATCTTAAAATTTACATTTACCAATTATCAGTGAACTAATCTTTTTGTCCCCTGTATTACAGGAATCATGGGTAAAGAAGGAAGACAAGCTGCAAGGAACAGTGACTATGCAATAGCTAGATTTAAATTTCTCTCCAAATTGCTTTTTGTTCATGGTCATTTTTATTATATTAGAATAGCTACCCTTGTACAGTATTTTTTTTATAAGGTGAGTTTCATGGAGATAGTCTAGAGTTAATTGCTAATACTATTTGAGGTTTCAGTTTAAGGAATGTTATTAATATTACCATAAAAATTAGTCTGAAAATTTTTTCTATAAGTAAAAATAATAGTTTATGGAATATACTTTTATTATTTTATCATAAATCTAATGTGTACTCACAGTGGTTGCCTGAGGCCAAGAGTGTGAGTGATAGAATTGACTGGAAAAGTATATGAGAAAACTTTGCTTGACAGAAAGTTCTTTAACTTGATTGTGGATATATGAATTTGTCAGGACACATCAAAATTCACACTTATTTTATTCTATGCAAAGTAGAACATGATTAGTTTGATTTCTTTATTGTTATTTTGAAACCAGTAATAAGTTTTAATTTTACCTCTAATATTATGATTTTAAGCAGAAGTTCTGCATCTTTTTTGGGCAATGAATGACTGGTAGTCTAGTAGTATAAACTACTCAGTATAGGGATTTTAGGTGCATAAAATAAAATACATAGAATTGTAAGGAAGCCAATTATGTTGAACTATTGTTCTATCTCTTGACCTTTTGGGCAAAGATAGGATTATTTGGAACCAATGTTAAGCACTTCTGAATACCAAAACATGTACTACATCAGAGTGTTCTGTGTTGCATGTATTTCTATAATTAGTAGTTGCAGCCCAATGAAAGAACACAGGTAGATTGCATAATGCTAATAGACGATGTTGGCAGTTTTTTCTTAGCTTATTATAACAACTTTTGCTGTGACCTATGGCTTTTGTAATGGAAAGAAATTTTTATACTCCATTTATTTTATTTTAAATATTTTTGCATTCTAAAGTAATTTTAGCCCTAAAGTTTAAATAAACCTTCCTAATTGTATTCTGTATGAAAAGTATTGAATAATAGTTATAAATTCAAAATTATATTGTTTGGCAATGACAGGAGTCAAAGGTATTTTCATGCTGACATTTGCAGTGCTACATAGACTACTTTTAGGCATTTTTTAATAAAATGGGATTCTTATTTTCCTATTTTGTATGGAAAAGTTCTTATGGGCAGATCTATTTACCATATCAACTGAGATTATTTTTCTGGACTCTTAAGTTATTTTTAGAAATCATTTCTCATTTAGACTTAAATATTTCAATTATTTCCATTTAATCTTGTTTTTCAGAATGTGTGCTTTATCACACCCCAATTTTTATATCAGTTCTACTGTTTGTTTTCTCAACAAGTAAGTAAATAGAGTCTTTTGTTTTATCCTTTGAGATAAAGAGTAGAGTATGTTTGTTCAGGTCTTGTTAAATACTTGGAGGGACTTTTTCCATTTTTTCCTAGTCCTGCAAATAACTAGCTAGACATAACTTTTCTTGTAGTATACTTAATTAGCTTAGCGTCAATGTTCTTTTTTCTGATTTTCAGTGTGAAGTGAGTGTGAATACCAAAAAATATTTTAACTGTGGATGCTTTTTAAAAAAATAGATATTATTACTCTTAGTAGCTTATGAGAGGACTTTGCTAACTATTTTCAACTTATGTATAGTATTTCTATAAAATTCATATCAAGCCAGGCCACATAATTATTGGAAGATTACATCATTATTTATTTTTTGACTCATAGAATTTTTTTTAGATTTGGAAGAAACATAGTGATTGAGTCCAGGGATGACATGTAGGTTTCATCTCAGAAGGTAATTAAATGGAGGTTCTAGGACTGCTATATTGAAAAGGGTTCTGAAGCTATATGGCTGTATGCTCAGAGGGAAAACTTTATAGTAGGTTAGCAGTAGCTATAATGAACACTTGATGGGTCTTTTCTTTGTATACATGTCACATAGAGAAGGAAGCTGAAATCCATAGAGATTAAGTAACCTGCCCAAGATTACACAGCTAAGTTAATGACTGAACCGTGCTTGGACCTATTGCTTCTGACTCCTGAACACCCTTCTCACATACCATACTCAACATCTCTAATTGATCAAGACATTTGTTCTAGTTTATTGAAATTTTTAATTATCTTAGGTTTTGGGGTTTTTTTTTTTTAATGAAGTTTCCTACTCTTAATCACTGTTTTCTCCTTTGTTTACAACCTGGAACTCTAAATTTGAGACATCTGCTTGGGCATTAAGTTAGTTAGTGTTGTGTCTGACTCTTTGCGACCCCATGGGCTATAACCCACCAGGCTCCTCTGTCCATGGGATTCTCCAGGCAAGAATACTGGAGTGGGTTGTCATTTCCTTCTCCAGGGGATCTTCCCGACCCAGGGATCAAACCCAGGTCTCGAACATTGCAGGCAGACACTTTAACCTCTGAGCCACCAGGGAAGCCTGCTTGGACATTGATTGCTAGTAAAAATGTTTTACTTGGATGAAATAAAGAAAGCTGTGAGAGCATGTGACAAGAAGACTTAACCTATTTTGTTTAGGTTTTCAGGGAATTTATAGTATAATCTGAGAGACAGTATCAATGTTAATGAAAGCTATATGTAAAGAACAGGCAAACTGCTAAGCACTTAATATCAACAGTAGCACATATAACTGTTTAGAAGAGGCAGCTGTCATCAGGAATTTGAGCCAATGTGTTTAAGTTTCATGGATCATGGATTAAAGAAAGTGTAGGACTTAGGTGGGAAAACAAAGCTATGAAAACAAAACTATGTGTAGCATATCAAAGAAATAATAACAAACCTAGGACACATGTAAGAGAATTGTATAAAATTACATCACAGTGATCAAATTAGGATATCTTGAAATATAGATCCATCTGACTGTAATAGTAGAATCAAGTGACATAATATTCCAGTTTCCACAAAGAATATAAATGTAGAAACATTATGTCTATATAAGAAACAAATTAGACTTACTAAAATGGATTCAGTGTAAACTGACAATATGTAATTTTTATGATGCTTCTTTGTAATTATATGAATAAGTATAATAGTAATGTAGTCTAGAGTCTACAAATTCCGACATATTTCTCTTTCTAGACACTATATGACAGCGTGTACCTGACTTTATACAATATTTGTTTTACATCCCTGCCTATTCTGATATATAGTCTGTTGGAACAACATATAGACCCTCATGTATTACAGAACAAGCCCGCCCTCTATCGGTAAGTGTTTTCCAATATTAAATATCCATACCACCTCTTGCAGCAAGTAGTACATTATATTTCAATAGTTACCCATTTTTAAAAGTATCTTAAAAATAAGCAAAGATATCAGGCAATTTCTTGGTGACTAATGTCTTACTAAGGAAAGTACTTAAGTGTTTGTATGGTTTATAATTGTTGAACATTGAAGAGAATGTTTGAATAAGTTTTCCAATGTTTTTAGGAATGAATAGTTTCGTCCTAGGAATGCATTGAGCAGTTGCGTGATTTGCACTTAATGTTTTAAACCAATAATACTCTGTTTCATGGGCACACACAAAAGTTACTCACTACTTACCTAAAAAATAGTTCGTGTTCTAGCCCTGCCGAATTTATGGGTAGTAATTGATGCAAGATGGAGAGTTGAGGCCATTAAATCCCATCCCAGGCCCCCTGGGTTATTCCTTTCTCAGAACCAGATAATCATAGATACATGGACTCAGCTCAGGACTAGCTTATGATTCCCACATTAACTTGACCTTTATGCTTATAGAGATATTCAGTTATCCAGAAATGGCAGTAACTTACCTTGATTTCCCAGGATATCTAGGCCTGGGCTTGACCCAAGATTGTACTTAGTTGCTTAGTTGTGTCTGACTCTTTGCAACCCCATGGACTATAGCCCGCCAGGCTACTCTGTCCATGGGGATTCTCCAGGGCAGAATACTGGAGTGGGTTGCCACGCCCCTCCCCAGGGAATCTTCCCAACCCAGGGATTGAACCCAGGTCTCCCGCATTGCAGGCGGATTCTTTATCATCTGAGCCACCAGGGTAGCCTATCCCTTCTCCAGGGAGTCTTCCTGGCCCATGAATTGAACCAGGGTCTCCTTCATTGCAGGCAGATTCTGTAGCAGCTGAGCTACCAAAGCCCTGACCCAAGATTGGCACAGGCTTTTCTGCTCATAATAGCTGTTGATAGACGTGAACTCAGGAACCTCATAAAGAAATAATCATGTCTGGTTATAACAGAATATAACAAATTTGACAAAGAGGGAATTCCCAGGCAGTCCAGTGGTTAGGATCTGGGCTTTCACTACTAGGGGGCCAGGTTCAATCCGTGGTCAGGAAACTAAGATCCCATAAGGCACACATTATGGCCCCAAAAAAGAAATAGCAACTTTACACAGTTAAACTGAAAAATTATGCCCATATCATATTTCCTTATCAAATGAGAAACTGTATTTGAATATGTTATGAAAATATAAGCTGTATGATTTACAAGTAGTGGTTTGTAAATTAGGTTTTGTTCTTTTCCTAAAATTATAAGCAATTTTGAATTAAAAAGCCATCTTTTTAAATTATCAAATTGTAATAATTATTTAGTAGGTAAATAATAAGTCGTGATATATTTTTTCTCTTCCTTTTTTTTAAATTTGCAGAGACATAAGTAAAAATCGTCGATTAAGCATGAAAACATTTCTTTATTGGACCATCTTGGGTTTCAGTCATGCCTTTATTTTCTTTTTTGGATCCTATTTTCTCATAGGGAAAGATACATCTCTGCTTGGAAATGGCCAGGTAAAATATACAGTTTTTTTACAGAATGTTTTTAATAATTAATATAGTTTGGCTTTTGATAACTTTGTTTTAAAAAATAAAGTAAAATTACATTTAAGTTATAAAGTTGTATATATTAAATTACAATTATTAAAAGGTTTTAACTTATTCTTAATCAAATTTCATACAAATGAAAATCAAAACAGAAAGGCAATGAAGTGTAATTTTAATGTGAAATTCAAGTTACCTAAGTAAGTTTTGTGGGTTCAAAAATTAATTCATATAAGGGAATATATTCATGCCACTGCATGCTGTTCACTTCAAGATTGTGTTTTAATAATAGTTACTGTTTATTTTGACTCATTGGAAAAGACCCTGATGCTGGGAGGGATTGGGGGCAGGAGGAGAAGGGGACGACAGAGGATGAGATGGCTAGATGGCATCGCTGACTTGATGGACATGAGTTTGAGTAAACTCCGGGAGTTGGTGATGGACAGGGAGGTCTGGCGTGCTACGGTTGGTTCATGGGGTCACAGAGAGTCGGACACGACTGAGCAACTGAACTGAACTGAACTGTTTATTTAGTACTTAATATTGTGCTCAGTGCTTTACATGCTGCATTTCCATTAATCCTCACAGTAATTCTGTTGGAATGATACTATTACTCAGCCTTTTCAAATGAGAAATAGAGACAATGTCTAGGGTTTTGCTTTTAAATGAATGAATTTTTTTTTTTTTGGTGTGCTTAAAAAGTGCTGCTGTACTCTTAAGTGCACACCAGCAATCCTGAAGATGTCAAGTTACAGTTTAGAATGGTCATATTTCTGAAATGTAAAATTGGAAAGGAGTACCACACAGTATGTTGCTTCTGTGTCCTGACTGGAATGCTCATGTTGAGAGATACTTTGCAGAACTAGGCCTCTCTCTAGGCTTAACTAGATAGGTTAGGAGGAAAAGAAATGACATCTGTAGTCCTGTGATAGACTGAAAATACTTGTCACCTTTTAGTTTCTGTTTTCTGTTGGCAGTACTTAAGAACTCCAAAATATATTTGCAGTTGGGAGAATATGAAGTTTTATCTGTGCAACAAACATTTATTAAGGACCAGCCATTCCCATGTACTATACTAGTGTATGGATTTATGAGAGGAACTAACACACTCCGTTATGGAGCTTAGAGTCTTGTGAGAGGTACTGGAAATGAACAACTGAAATAACACAATATTCAAGAGCATAAAGGAAATGGATTCCAATTTTAGAGAGGCTTTAACCATGCAAATCCCTTTAGGATATAGAATAGGAACATACATATTATTGCCACTTTTGAGGACATACTTAGCCAGGTTTGGACAAATATATGAGTCTAGTTTGTGTAGTATGAATGTTACAGCAATTCCCTCAAGTAATTGAATTTTATTCAGTTTTTTTTCTCTGTTCCAGGTATATTCCATGTATTAACTTACTAAATTGTAACAACAATCCTATGTGAAGAAAATATATGTTACTTTTTTTCATATTAGAAAAGTAATCTCAGGTTAAAAAACTTGCCTCAAGTCACATAGTAAATAAATTGCAAGAGTATAATTCAGTATTATATAATTGATATATAGTATTCTGTATTATACAGTATAGATCTGTATAATATCAAAGCCTGTATGCTTTGCCATGATCCTAAATTCTGTTGAGAAACAGTTATTAGCCTAGTACACTTCTGTGCAGTATTACCACCTGTGCCAGGACCATCAAACATATATATATATATTTGCCTGTGCTAGGTCTTGGTTGCTACTCACAGGCTTTCTTTAGTTGCAGTGAGCAGGGTCTACTCTCTAGCTGCAGTGCACAGGCTTTACTCTCTAGCTGCAGTGCACAGGCTTCTCATTGTGGTAGCTTCTCTTGTTGCAGAGCAGGGCCTCTAGAGTGTGATCTTAGCAGTTGTGGCCCATGAGCTTAGTTGCATCTTTGCATGAGGGATCTTCCTGGACTGGAAATCGAACCTGTGTCCCTGCATTGGCAGGCAGATTCCTAACCAATGAATCACCAGGGAATTTCAGTCATCAAATATATAGTTATATGGGTGAGCATGCCCATTTTCACCTGAAATACTGGGATAAAAACAGGACAGAATAAAGAGGGAAAAAAGTTAAGAAAAAAGGAAGATGTCCTTGGATAAAAAGGAAGTTAAAGAGATCTCTTGTGTTAGTTATTTTTCTTCTGATTTTGAAATACTGTATCAGAAAAATACACAAAAATAAAAAATAAAACTACCTGTTCTCCTTGTACCCAGGTGTAATTATTCCTATCGTTTTTACATATTTCTCCTATTATTTTTTCATTAACCTCAAATTTATATCCTCTCAATAACCTCATCACCATTTCCCCTTAATATTGCCTCAGTGATTTTTCTTGTTATTAAAAATGCTTCAAAAATATTTTTTTCATAGCTACATAATATTCATTACATGGTATAAATTATTTAAGAATGTTACAGTTTTGATTTGCTTCTAGTTTTTAGTGACTTTTAAAATTAAATCTTGAGCATGCTTTATATGAAATAAAAAATCTTAATGCAAGGTAAATTGTTCTGGCCCTTTGGTATAAAAGTTTCTTTTTTTCTTTTTACCACTTGTTAACTACCTTTTTTTTTAAACTCAAATTGTATATCATTAACTTCCTTCCCCTTTTAGCCTACCAGTTCTATCACTCAGATATATACCACTGGAAATTTATCTACTGCTCCCTGCCACCAGTACTAGTAGATAGATGGGAAAGAGGCATATGTTACAGTCAGTCAGATTGGATTTACATACTAGCATCTGAAGTTATCATTTGAGTGATTTGGGATGAATTAGTTAACTTCTCTGAGACTCAGTTTCCTCCATCAAAATTAGGAGCTTAATTACTACCTTATTGTGTTTGCTGTGACGGAGAAGGCAATGGCACCCCACTCCAGTACTCTTGCCTGGAAAATTCCATGGACGGAGGAACCTGGTAGGCTGCAGTCCATGGGGTCGCGACTGGGGTCGCGAAGAGTCAGACACAACTGAGCGACTTCACTTTCACTTTTCACTTTTATGCATTGGAGAAGGAAATGGCAACCCACTCCAGTGTTCTTGCCTGGAGAATCCCAGGGGTGGGGTCGCACAGAGTCAGACACGACTGAAGTGACTTAGCAGCAGCAGCAGCAGGTTTGCTGTGAAGAATAAATGATATATGTAGGGCATTAGGCATAGAGGCTAGCATACAGAGTACTCAATCTTCAGAGTATTACTTGTTACTATTACTATCAAGTCTTTTTATTGAAGACCTTGTTCTACCCAATCCCATCTAGCCTACTTCTCCCACAAACCCTCTCTTTAACCATATAAGTTAAACTACCCTTGTTGGCTCTCTTAGAACATGCAACATTCATTTCTAGAGTTCAAAGCCATCTCTGTGTTTCCTCTCTAGAATGCTGTTTACCTCTTTCTCTTATGACTATTCTTCAGGGTTGAGCCTAGATTGTAATTTTGAGAAAGAAAAACCTTTTTGTAGTTTTTATTACAAAGCTTTTTTTTTTAATGTTAATGATTTTAATTATTCTTTCACACTATACATGTAACCAGCTGTTGAAACCTAATCATCAAATGATAAGAGCTTTGTGTTAAGATAGTAATATACTATTTTATATTTATATTACACAGAGAAGTCAGTATCTTTATTTTAATTCAAATGATTTAACCACTGTAATTACCAATCAGGTCATTAAAGACACATATGCAATTTAATTCCTAACAGTAGATATAGATTCATTTTAATTAAAGCTTGTATGATTGAAATGCCTTTGATTATCTAGTTCATTGCATAATTTCCCTGCATATTCTCTTATTCATGAGAATATTTAAAGCACTAATAATACTTCAGTCAATAGGAAATTTTCATATACAGAGAACAGAAAAATATACCTTGCTTCTTATGGTATCACCCAACAATTGGTCAATGTTTAAAATGAATAATAAAAAGATAGTTTGTAATGGAGAACTGAACAACTGATTAACTCTATAGAAGGTAATTGTCTTATAGATCAATGTATAGTTAAGTTAAACCTGTTACAAAATTGGAAGAAGTTATATTTTTTATTATTTCTACTTCCTGGCCTCCTCTTCTCCCTTAAATGTACTCCTGTTGGACTTTCCCCCAAAGTTCTCCCATCCAAACCATGTTCTTTATGGTCAGCAGCACCCACTTTATTGCTAAATCCAAGAGCATGCCTCAGCATTTATGAACTCAACCACTGGGTACAATTTATGAAGCCTTCTTGCCTGCCACAGTATCTTCTCTCAGTCTCTATAAGTTACTTTGGCTTCATTACCAACTATTCCTTTTCAGTCTTTCAGGGACCATAGTAGCTACCTTCTTCCTGCTTCCGTTCTTCCCCTTCCTACTATCCATTCTTCTCACAGCAGCCCAAGTGATCTTATAAAAATGAAAAAATTTTGGACTTCCTCTTGGACTGTATTTCCTTACCACCTTCCCTTTTAGTCACTGTATGCCAGCCACACTGGTTTTCTTGCTCCTTCAGACTAATTTATTCCTGCATTAGGACTTTCGCACTTGCTCTTTCTCTTGCCTAGATTCTTTTCCCTCATGTGGTCATGTGGCTGAATCCCTTAGTTCCTTCAGGTCTCCCGAACTAGCACTGGCTTGACTCAGACTTTCTAGACCACTCCAGTAAAATCTGTCCCTCTCACTTTGTCACTTCCCGACCCCTTACTCTACATTTATTTTTCTTCATGGTGCCTGCCTCTACCTGAAAGTATATATTTTTAAGTTTATGTCCTGCCTTTTCCACTATACAAGCTCCGTGAGGTCAGGAATGTTTACATTATTACTGCTTCATTCCCCAAGGCCTAGAATGGTACTTGGCATGGAATAGATTCTCAGTTACTATTTCTTGATTGGCTTTACAAGTGAGTATTGAATCATCTTCTTTAATTCGAACTATATGGTTGGCTTTATTAAATTATTAGGTATCAAATTAAGTTAAAAGAAGTGATTAAAAAAACCCAAAACATTGTGATAGAAAATGTTTTGAGCATCTGTCTCTTCTGAGCAGGAGCAGATCCAGGTTTAGTAGACTAGTCTAAACCTTACTCATTTTGGCAGGCCGCCTTTCAGTGAAAAAACATAAAACTGTAAGTACAAACATAGTATATGTGAAAATGATTGTGAGTGACATAAATAGCTTCTACTTAGCGCAAGCCAAAGTAATAAGCCCAACTCAACATCTCTTTAGCTAGATCCCCAAATTCCCTCTGCCATTCACTTCATCACCAATTAAACTAAATTCAAGGGGAAATCAGAGGGAAATAGTCTTAAGTTATTGCTACAGTTGAAATAAATTACTTTGCTAATTTACCTAAAAAGAGAATGTGAATTTGTTTTCTACAGCTCCCTCTAGGTCCTTAAATGCTTGAATTTTAAATCATCCTCTGCCTCAATACATATAATTAGCCCCAATCTGGGCCCAGTAAAACCAGATACTAAGAGGTAGATATGTGTGGTTGTTACCATTTCCAGGCCCACGTGGCCTGACTGCATTGATTACCTGCTGCCATATCACTGAAAGAGGAGCTGGCATTCTTAAGAGCCGAATTGAGTGAGATACGATGGTTTTTCAGTATTCTAAGTCATTCTAGAGATGATAAAAGTAGGAAAAGTCAATATGACTTTATTTTCCCCTTGACAAATAAGCTCCCCAAAATACCCTCAAATAAAGGGATATTAATGTTTCATTGTTGATTGTAAGAACCATTATTTATTGGTTGCTTTTTTACCATTAAGCTATTTGTTTTTTAATTGAAGTATAGTTAACATACAATGTTGTTAGTTTCACATGTATAGCATAGTGATTCAGTTGTATGTATACATATATATATTCTTTTTCAGATTCCCATTATAAGTTATTACATGATCCCTGTGCTGTATATACAGTAGGCCCTTACTGTTCGCCTGCTTTATATATAGTAGGGTGTATATGTTAATCCCAAACTTCTAATTTATCTTCTCTCCCCACCCAACCCCACTATCCCCTTTGGTAACATAAGTTTGTTTTCTGTTTCTGTGAATCTATTTCTGTTTTATAAATAATTTCATTTATGTCTTTTTTTTTTTAGATTCTGTGTATAAGTGACATCATAGGATATTTGTCTTTCTCTGTCTGACTTACTTCACTTAATATAATTTCTGGCTGAATCCATGTTACCAAAAATGGCATTATTTCATTATTTTTTATGACTGAGTAATATTCCGTTGTGTATATATACCACATCTTTATTCATTCATCTGTCAGTAGACATTTAGGTAGCTTCTATGTCTTGGCTATTGTAAATAGTGCTGCTATGGACATTGGGGTTCATGTGTCTTTTCAAAGTAGTTTTCTCTAGTTATAAGCCCAGGATTGGGATAGCAGAATCATATGGTAACTCTTTTTAGCTTTTTAAGGACCATTATTCTCCCTAGTGGCAGCATTAATGAAATTCCCACCAACAGTGTAGGAGAGTTCCGGCATGCTGGCTTTTTGTTGCACTGTGTGGGCTTTGTGTGGTAGCGGAGCTTGGGCTGTAGCTCACCAGGCTCAGTGGTTGCAGCATGCAGGCTTAGTTGCCCCTAGGCATGTGGGATCTGATTTCCTGGACCAGGGATTGAACCCACATCCCCTGCATTGGAAGGCAGGTTTTTAAGCAGTTGGCCACTAAGGAAATTCTTCTGTAGACTTTTTAATAATGGCTAGTCTGGCCAATGTTAGGGGATTCCTCATTGTAAGAAATTTTGATTTGCATTTCTCCTGTAATTAGTAATATTGAACAATTTTTAATGTGCCTGTTGACCATCTGTGTGTTTTCTTTAGAGAAATGTCTATTAGGTCTTCCGCCCATTTATTTTTTTATAACTAAGCTGTATGAGCTGTTTGTGTATTTTGGAAATTAATCCCTCGTCTGTAGCATCATTTGCAAATATTTTCTCCCAATTCATAAGTTGTCTGTCTGTTTTATGGATGGTTTCCTTTGCTGGCAAAAACTTTTTTAAGTTTAGTTAGGTCCCATTTGTTTATTTTTGTTTTTATTTCCATTATTTTAAGAGACAGATCCAAAAATACATTCTTGCATTTTATGTCAGAGTGTTCTGCCTATGTTTTCTTCTAGGAATTTTACGTTTAGGTCTTCAATTTCTTTAGATTTTATTTTTTTATATGGTGTTACAGTGTTAGGGAATGTTCTAGTTTCATTATTTTACATGTAACTGTCCAATTTCCCAGCACCACTTATTGAAGAGATTGTCTTTTCTCCATTGTATATTTTTGCCTCCTTTGTCATAGATTAATTAGACCATAGGTGCATGGGTTTATTTCCAGGCTTTCTGTCCTGTTCCACTGATCTGTGTCTGTTCCACTGATCTATATGTCTGTTTTTGTGCCAGTATCATACTGTTTTGATTACATTAGCTTTGTAGTATAGTCTGAAGTCAGGGAGCATAATTCCTCCAGCTCCATTATTCTTTTCTCAAGATTATTTTGGCTATTCAGGGTCTTAAGCACTGAGTTTGTCATTTATTTTTAATTACCTAGATAAGTTTTATTGCCATTGGAACCCACTTGTTCTTAAATGACTGGTCTTTTAGTTTTGTTTTTTTTTTTAACCAATGGTAAAGATTATGACTTTTGGTGACCTAAATTGACATAAAGTTCTGGTTATGCTCTTGTTTGTGGAAATTAAATCCTGATGTTCTTTGGGGAATCTGCATTTTTAATAAATCTTAGTCAGTTTTAGCTAAAAAGCCCAGAGCATACTATCTGATTGGCATTAACTGCATTTTTACATGGAATCCTTTGAGTCATTCCACTAGCCATTACCTTTCCTTTCAAGTGTTGGTTTCATGTATAAATTTCTTTTTACTTGATCTTTCTATGCTGTGTCCAGAAATACAGTGGCAGGTATTCTCCTGTGACTTTTGGCTGGAGTGGTTTCAGAAAATAATTATAATTGAAAAGGGTTTATTATTATATTTACTCTGTGACAAGAGTAAAGCAGTTACTAACAGGTGTATAATTCTCACTAAAAACTATCTGTGCCACACAACTTCAAACCTTTCTTTGAGTTTCCAGTCTGATAGTGTTATCCAAAGGATCATTTATGTAATAAACATAATAATGCTTTATGGTATTTCTTCTCATTCTCCTTTAACTTTACTAATCTAGTCAGATTTCAAATGTACCTGACGTAAATGATGCAAGTGATTTTCAGTGAAGAATGTGATTATTCTTTGCATCACTTCTGTTTCAGCATCATTTTAACATGTAATACAGTACTAGTTTATTCTTTGTGTTTTAGATGTTTGGAAATTGGACATTTGGCACCTTGGTCTTCACAGTCATGGTTATTACAGTCACAGCAAAGGTATGATACAGAAATTAGGAGCATGGACATGTTTTGTCTATATAGTTCTAAATTTTCTTCATTATTTTAGTAATAGAGTTTTTCTTTTTACTGTCAAGAATAATTTCATGGATGGCTAGTTTGATAATTTTTGTCAAAAAATTCATTATGAATTCATTTTTTAATTCATTATTCTGGAAAGCCTCAGCTGATTTTTCTAGTCAAAGGAAAGTTAACTCCCCAATACCCACCTGTGAAATTATGCTTCTCTCTATGTGATGCAAGATAACACAAGCTAGTTTAGCCCATGGAGTTGATGAAGTACTCATGAAATTTTAATGCTGCTTCCTCACAGAAGAAAAATAGTATAAACTTGAAATTGTTCCATTTCATACTAGGAGCCTTTCATTAATATTTGTCTTCTGAGGGACTTTGCCATAGGAACTTTTTAGTCACTTATTCTTGGGTTATATCTGAGAAGTTAAAGATTTATTAATTTACAATAAGGATTTTTTAATTTATTTTTTTAGATGGCTTTGGAAACTCATTTTTGGACCTGGATTAATCATCTTGTTACATGGGGATCTATTTTATTCTATTTTGTGTTTTCTTTGTTTTATGGAGGGATTCTCTGGTGAGTTACTATATTGTATTTTAATTACATTTATTCAACTCTAATAAATATTTATTATGATAGGTTATATTATGAACAAATTCTGCTCAGAATAGTTTTAAGACCCTATCCTGGTAAGAAATTTAGTTCTTTCAGTTGATCTTACTAATAAGGAAGAAAAAAGAAACTAACAATTACTCTATCTACTGCATTCTAGTGTTTTACCTGAGATATTAACATTGATTATCACAATAATCTTACTATCCCTTTTTTTCTATTTGGAAACTGAACTCTTTAAGATCACAAAGGTTAAAAATAAGATTTACTTGAAAATTATTGTTCTTTATGTTAACCATAGTATTGATACCTCTAAATTATTACTAATGTATATAATAAAATAAGTCACATAAAAACATTAAAGTTTATCATGAATAAGTTAGCTTATCTCTCAAAAGTAAATAGTGTGCTGTATCTTCATTGCTAAAATCAGATTTTCAGCTTCTCTGATAGATAAAAAATGAGTGCTTATCCTAAAGAATCCTAAAATTCTTTGATAAATCATGGACAACTGAAGTCTCTGAATTAGAGTATTTATATTACATTGCCTACTGTGTCTGCAAAATACTGTATCAGGCAAAATATTATAAAAAGCAGGTAAAAAATTTGGATTGGCTAAACATTAACTTTCATTAGGATTATAAAAGGATGCTCATGACTATCATTTGTTTTTAATCCTCTTTATTTCTTCATTTCTTCCTGTATTTCCCTATATTGCTTTGAAGTGATATGTACAAAACCCCAAAAATGGTATTTTGACAAAACCTATTACTATGTAGAGCTAATGTTTGTGAGTACATTTATTTTTAAATAAGTGTGTAGAGAAGATCCTCTAACTAGAGCTTTTCAACCTAAAATTTTGGTTATCAAGCTTATAGTTGCTTAGTAGAAAACATTTTGTTACATACTTTTCTTGCTTTTTTAACCTCTTAAGTCTGTATTACAATATAATTCTTTGGATTTCCTACCACTGGGATAGAATAAGTCAACTACTTGGCACTTTCCTAATTATAAAAACTATGGTTGTCATTCAAGTGAATTAAATTGGATTTTATTTTTGACAGTGAAAGTGTATCACATTTTATTAGTTAATTAAATTACATTGATTCCGAATTTTGAACATTTTACCTCCGTATACTTAAAATTATAACCTTCGAATATAGTGGGTTTACTTAATGTCTTGATTTAAGAATCTGTCTTGTCAGTTTCTTCATTTATTAAGCCCACTTTCTTTGCAGGCCATTTTTGAGCTCCCAGAATATGTACTTTGTATTTATTCAGCTCCTATCAAGTGGTTCTGCTTGGTTTGCCATAATCCTCATGGTTGTTACATGCCTATTTCTTGATATTGTGAAAAAAGTATTTGACCATCAGTTCCGTCCTACAAATATTGAAAAGGCACAGGTAACCACATTTTATATACAGTACCTTTTTAATTAGGAGTCTTTAATGAATAGTTGTCATTATAATTTGTTCCTATTAGAAAATAGTAAATTAACTATTCCTGTATCAAGTGTTTTGCTATATAAATGTTGTTAAATGTGATACTGTTAAAGTTGTATTGAGTTTTTGACTCCCGAAAAATTATAATTTTAAAATTTCATAGGAGTAGGAATATAAAACTATCAAGTTATATCCAAATAATAGTATAAATACATCTTAAGTAATATCACAGCATTTGATCAAATATATATAATTGGAATATATATCCATGTCTTTAGAATCATTAGAATTTCAGTAGTACTTCTTTAGGTTATATTGTTGGCAACAGAAAAAATAGTTCTTTAACCTGAATAACTTCTACAGAATGGAGTTTTACAAAATATTTTCTCTCATTGAATACTCACTAAAGTATTTAAACTACAACAGGTATTAACAGTGTTTACATAGTGTTTAAGAATATGTTCTTAAGGACCTGATAGTTGTGGGTTCAAAATCCTCATTCTACCACTGCGTAGCTCTGACTTTAAGTCTCAGTTTCCTCATGGGTAAAATTATGACAGAAATGTCTATTTCATTGCATTTGAAGATTAAATGAAATAATATTCAGACAAAGTGGATGCTCAAGAAATAAAAGCTATTTAGTTGAATGTACTGTCTTTATAATTTGACTTGTACATAACCTGGAAATCCTAGTTTGTTCTGTTAACTGTACCATGGCATTGAATATATATCCTCAGGAACACATTCTAATCAACTTTTATGCCCCTGTAAACACCAATTTTATTAATTGTTTAATTCTTCCTAGGTTGAGTGTTTGTTGCAGATGGGGGGTGGGGGCGGGGGTTGTTGTTTTTGCATGTTTGTTGTATGCAAAGCAAATTTTGTTTAAATTTTGGAAATTCAGTTGTGTGTTAATGTTACAAATAGAATAAGTGCTTCCTAAGTATTTAGTGATTTGTTAGGCTTCCTAAATAGTATATGGGTTTAATTTCAATTGATCACATTAACATTTCTTTAGCATTTACTTGCTTTGGTCACTCAATTCTAGCCAGTATACATTTTAACACCATTGAAGCAGTGCAGGCATCTGAAGCCTGACAGACTAAATTTAAATACTGTTTTAACCATACAATGTATATTATTAATCAAGTCACTTCCTTAAGCCTCAGTTTCTTCCTATATAAAATCAGAATGATAATTACTACCTTACATGATTGTTAGAAACAATTAATATGAAGCACCTGGGTCTGTATGTAGTAAGTCCTCTGTAAGAACATAATTATAAGAATGATTAGGATGCTGCTCTAATACTGATCCTCAGCTTGGGTTGAAAAAATTTGCATAATCTATTTACTGTGCCTACCTATGCATTTACCTATATCCGAATATGGACAAATTTTTCCACTGTGCAAGATATTACTTAAATATCAGAAAGGTTTGCCATTTTTCTAAGCTTCAGAGAAATTCTTGATAATAGGATACTACTTTTAATACATTGACTATTATACTTTTTCCAGACCTTTATGAAGAACATTTTTGTCTTGTCTTCTTGCCTAAAGTTATATTTCACCAAAATAGATTAATGACATCACTTAAAAACTTAAATTTTTATAAAAGTAAATAATCAGATATTTTACATCTATCCTTGGAAATTTTTTTTAGAGTATTTACATACATCTTTCAAAGAGATTTCTTAATGATAATACAAGATGATAATATTAGTCCTTATTTTTACAGGCCTCTTTTTAAAGGATTACATAGGAAGTATTTGATACCTTAAGATGGACCCTTAAACAAGAAAAAGTTAAAAGTGCTTTATATTTTGGTTCTTTTACCATGGGTTAGTTGATTTAAAAAATAGAGTTAAGAAATCAATCATTTTTCTATGTGTGAAAGTCAGTATAATCTCCCTTCTACCCCCACTAAATTTCTTTTAAATGATTTGACTGGATATTCAACTGGGGTCTGATCTAAAGAGGAAAAGGATGTATATATGTGTAAACTGTGTCCCTTTGCTATACAGCAGATATTGGCCCAACATTGTAATAAATCAATTGTACTTCCATAAAAAATGAACATATAAAAATAATCTAAAGAGGAAATCTCTACTTTCACTCAGGGATTTTTCTGTTTTTGTTAAGACAGTATATGGTCCTTCAAATCCCATGTGTGTTGTTATTCTTTTGCTATAGTCAGTAATTTTTATTGTTTTCAGACTTGTACTGTCACCTCTAATTTCAAATGATATGAAAATTGTTAGAAAGCTGTCAGTTCCTTACTTCATTTTGCTATCATCCAAATAGTAGCAAGAAAAATTATATCACAAGAAGAGGTGGCAGCATTGATTATGAGTTTTTCCTGCAGAACAGCAGTGTGGTAAATGAGAGTAAATTGTTGGGATAGCAAATGTCAGTCATGTATGTGTACCGTGTATGATACTTCCTGCTCCTGTAGGAACAAATGTCTTTACCAAGCTTGTCGTGTGTCTGTCTCTTAGATGATAAGTCCAGCTCACTGACTTGCTGCATGTCCCGTCCCTCTTCTGTCCACTTGTAGATGTACTCCAACACAGTCGCTTTCAGTGACGAGTTCATCGCACTGCAGCCGTTGTCGAGGGCAAGGAGTCAGCTGAGCAAACTTAGGTAGAGTAGGAGGAGTAGAACCTCATTAACTCTTCTGCATGCTAAAGGTCAATTTAAAAATACTCAAAAGATGGGCAGAGGCATGAATTAAGAGTGGGGCATTTTTGTTAGCACAGCTCTGTCTCTAATTTGACCTTTACCATTATGTATGTTAAAACCTAAAAAATATCCATTTCCTTGAGATGAAAATTCAGCATAACAGGACAGAGATCTGTACTTTGTTATATGTTTTATACCTTAACTACCTTTCCTAACACAATTCTAATGCTTCTGCTTGTCATACTCGTATTTAAGAATGCTCCTGCATGTTGAGTAATTTAATTTAAGCTACAGGAATTCATCATACAATTTAAAGTTTTAAGTTTCAGTTACTTAGAAGTGAGAGTTGCCTATTTTTTATCTTGCCTTAATCTGTGTTGTAAATACACATGCATATTTGTCTTTGTACCCTGAAATGGCTACTGAAATATTTCATATCCTTGCTACTGTTTAGTGCATCTATAAATTGAATAATAGATTTTGTATCTCATATATATCTTTATCTCCACTGACAGATTCATTCTGTCAGTTTCTGCAAAAAATAATTAGTAATCCCAAGATGTCTTTTGATGGAACAGAATTGAAAGTTTAAATCCTAGAACTTTTCATATTAAGATACCAAAGTTATACATTAACTTTAATTCCAGTCTGGTTTGAAGAGGAAAAGTAATATAAAGGTTGTTTGTTTTTAGTTTTGGCACCCTGCAGCTTCTCACCCTGGATTTTTAATCATATGTATTTTTTAAATTCTTTTTTATTCTGTAGATTTCTAATCTGTGTTCACTTGATCAAATGAATGACTGTGACAAAGCCCTGCTTAAATAACTTGTGTAACCTTGTAATTTTGAGTTCTTCCAAAATTTTCCAAGCCTTTTGACTTTAATATTCCTATTAGTATGAGGGTTTTTCAAATATTCTACTTTGAATTACAAAGATGTATAATTGTAGATGATATACAAATGGGAGTTTAAGTGGTAGTCAACTAAATTTCATATTTAAAACGAGAACTAAAATGAAAACACACTTGGAAGATTTACCACCAACCTTGGTTGAGCCAAATATGTATATCATTTTTATCTATATGTGCCTTCTGAAAACAGTGCATACTTATCACATTTTTGAACATCTGATAAGGCAATAGGAGAGCTCATTATTTAAAAGGACACTCTGGTAAGCACTTTTGTGAGGATTAACTTTTGCATTGTGAATAATCTTAATATTTTTATTAAATCATATTTTTACATGTCATGGTGGCTCAAATCAAGCAACATTTTTTGAGTAGTGATAGACAAAGAATGAAGCACTGCTCCTGCTAAGTCGCTTCAGTCATGTCCGACTCTGTGCGATCCCATAGACGGCAGCCCACCAGGCTCCCCGGTCCCTGGGATTCTCCAGGCAAGAACACTGGAGTGGGTTGCCATTTCCTTCTCCAATTCATGAGAGTGAAAAGTAAAAGTGAAGTCGCTCAGTCGTGTCTGACTCTTAGCGACCCCAGGGACTGCAGCCCACCAGGCTCCTCCGTCCATGGGATTTTCCAAGCAAGAGTACTGGAGTGGGGTGCCATTGCCTTCTCCGATATTCTGATCAGATTAGAATATTAATTGAGCTTCAAGGTTCTTCACCTATCAGATGACCATTTTACATACTATAATCTTATTTACTTACTATCAGCATCAGCAAAAGACAAAAAGAAATATAATCAACCAAAGGTTAGGCAGAAATAACAATTGATTACATGAGTGGTGAATGACCACTGGATGGGCATTTGCTCATAGCTTCATGAAGAAAAAGTGCCCACAAATATCTGTCTGCTGGTGTATCCTGTGAATTTTTAAGTGCATCTTGTTTTTGAATCGTGTTGAGCAGTATTCCTGGGTGTGGTCCATGATGACTTGTTTACTATTGTAACTGGAAAATTATGCATATATTGAATGTCTTTAAGAGTTTTCAAATCTTTTATAAGGTTAGTATTGATACTTAAGAACCATTAACACAAAGCTATTAATAATTTTTTTAAATAAAAGAAAGCTCAGTTTGAATATTTTCCACTCCCTTATAAAAGGCAAAGCTATAATAATAAGCTATCTTTACATAAACTTACTATACTCTTGAAACCAAGAAATTCTACTTTATTATTTATGTATATAAGAAATTTACTATAGCATTTTTTTATAGAAATAATTATTGATTAGTCCTAAGACTTAGAAAACACACAGAAATGAGGAAAAAGTATGTTTTATTTATTGAGGAACTTTCTTTTTTTGGTAATTTAAGAAAGGT